CTTAATATCTGAACCGCAATTTCCTCTTTGATAAAGGAAGAAACACTATACCTTCTCTGCCTACCTCAATAAAACTAGTATGATACTAAGATGAAAGTTATATGGGCATAACTTGTTTTATTGCATTTTTCTTCATTGTACTTCACAGATATTGCATTTTTTACAGATTAAAGGTTTGTGGCAACCTTGTATTGACCAAGTCTACCAGTGCCATTTTTCCAACAGCCCAGGCTCGTTTTGTGTCTCTGCATCACATCTAGGTAGTTCTCATAATATTTCACACTTTTTCATGTTATTATGCCTTTTGTGGTGATCCATAATCAGTGATTTTTCATGTTATTATTGTAATTGTTTTGAGGTGCCATGAATTGCATCCATATAAAATGGTGAATTTAATTGAGTAATGTTGTGTGTATCTGATCGCTCCATGGACAGGCCATGCCCCCTCCTCTCTTCCTTTTCTTAGGCTTCCCTATTTGTTGAGACACAACAGTATTGAAATTAGGTCAATTAATAACCTTACAATGGCTTCTAAGTGTTTAAGTGAAAGAAAGAACCCCACATCTCTCACTGTAAATCAAAAGCTAGAAATGATTAAGCTCAGTGAGGAAGGCAATGTCAAAAGCAGAGACAGGCCAAAAGCTAGGGTTCTTGTGCCAAATAGTTGACCAAGCTGTGAATGCAAAGAAACAGTTCTTAAAGGAAATTTAAAGTTCTACTCTAGTGAACACATGAATGACAAGAGAGTGAAACAACCTTATGACTGATATGGTGAAAGTTTTCATGATCTGGATAGAAGACCAAACCAGACACAGCATTCCTTTAAGACAGACCCTAATCCAGAGCAAACCCCTAATTCTCTTCAGTCCTATAATGGCTGAAAGAGGCAAGGAAGCTGTAGAAGAAAAGTTTGAAGCCAACAGAGGTAGGTTTATGAGGTTAAAGGAAAGAAGCCATCTCTCATTCAAAGATCAGCTCTCTTTTTTTAGATAAACCACATGACATACTAGAAAAGCAAACAAACAAACAAACAAACCTGGGTTCAAATCCCAACTATGCTGCCTACCAAATGTGGTATCAGGCAGGGCCAACATTCAGCTCCTTAATATTGAAAAACTGTGGGAGTCACTTCTGTAGCACAGAATTACTTGATGGCATTTAAAAAGCGAACATAGGCATATTCCCTAACACAGAGTAAACAGACAGTAACTGTTTGTTTTATTCTTCTTTTCCCTTCCATAATGTCTACATTTAAGCAGGAAGGGATGGATTGGTCATTGACTAAAGGAAAAACAGTGGGATGTTTAATGACAGACGCTATGGAATCATCCACCCCTGAGATCATCTGAAGTATATACCCACAGTCTGTCTGGGAACCTCTGCAGCACTTTGTGAAATCTCACTTGAAATTAAAGCAATTTATTACAAAGCCTAATTATGCAAGTAGTAGCCACAGACTGCCAGCTGACAAAGCTGATGACTGAAACACTCCTGGTTGGCTGATAAAGTTCTGTCTGGAGTTCTGTTTACCTTTTTGATTACTGTGATTTGTGCTTTCTTTTTTTTCTTAATCATGGTGTGAGAGTTCAAGCTGTGGAGAGTTTTTTTTTTCTTCCAAAATTATCCCATAAAATTGCTTCTGTTTCCATTACTTGTGTGTGTGTGTGTGTGTGTGTGTGTGTGTGTATTTCAGTGAAGCAAATGTTTGCTTCTAAAGTAGCCACACACTGAACACGTTCCAGCACACGGCCCACATGTTTTCTTTCTGCCTGTTTTTCTTACATTAGGGAGCTGTGCCTGTTGCTAGTCAACCACATGGTCTTGAGGTGAAGGAAGCCTACACAGAAACAAGAAGGGATATTTTAAAACTCAATTGCTAACAAAGAAGAGAATCCTTTCGTGGAATCTTGAATCTTGGACTACTTCCTGTCAAGTCAATTAGACCAGCTTTGATTCTTAGTGTCCTTAGGTCTCTAGGGAGCAAGTCCCATTCAAGTTTCATCCCCAGACTGAGCAGGAGACCCCCTGTTATACTGAGTTCCTGGAGTTGTGAGGAGGTGGAGGGAAATAAGCCATTCTTGTGGATGTGTTATTTTTAGCTGCTAGGACTTTGCTTGGAAATGAGAGGCTCATTTTTTTTTGTTGAATAAACACATCAACTAACATCTTAAGTACCTTCTTCAGGTTTGGAAAGCAGACAACAGAGAATGGGAAATTTGATGACTGGGAATGTTATTTCTTGGCAGATCCAGCCATTGTTCCTGTATACTTTGCTGTTCTTTGCCTTTTTTTTTTTTTTTTTTTCTTTTAAATAAGGGAAAGGGGAAGCGGTTTTTTTAAAAAAATTAATTTTAAAAAAATTCTAATACTTTGACTTGGCACATTTCACTTTGGGATATTTCAATATTGATACATTTGCTCTTTTTTGTGTGTGAATCATATGCAGTGACTTTCTTAAGGTTGAATTTTCTTAAGGGTTTAAGCCTTTTCTGAAATAAATGTCTGTAATGATTTTTGTTTTGGCTTAGGCTACATGAAGTCAACATTTCAAACATTTGATTGAGAGACAAGAGTTATACTCCAACTACCCCTGCTGACCTGGGGGAGGGAGGTGGGAACCCCTACACACATATGACTTTTCAAAAGAACATGGAGGATGAGAAGAGGGTGGTCAAAAGATTAGATTCATGCAACTGTTTTGCCACTCAACACTGTTGCTTCTTCTAAACTTTCTGCTTCATAGAATTGGAAAAAGTGCTAATGACTGTGGCTTAATGTCAACAGATCTGAAGGAAAAATGCTTTCATTCAGGACCAGATTAAAACATGCCATTTTATTTAAAGAACAGTCAGTTTTACAAGCTAAATACAAAAAAAGTCACCTCTAGGAAATGTTTCTTCGTGATAAAAGAATTGAGAAAATGCTCAAAAGGCAATAAAAATTAGAGTGACACTGTTGCTGAAACTTCAGGAAAGGCAGCATTTTGGAGTTCTGCTCTCAGTTCTTGCATTACAAGGTAGAACTGTGTAGTAAAGAAATGGTAAATAACTGGGCTCTGGGAGGCTGTGTAACTATCAAACAAGGTCAAAATGCAAATCTAATGAAAGTTATTAACACAGGGAATGCAAAGCACTTTTTTTGATATACATAGAAACATAATTTTAGTAATAATAAAAGTGCATTTTTGATAAAAATTAAAACAACAATATTTAAAATTTAATGCAAAATGATAACATACTAAACAAAGATTTTTTTCCGAACATAGTACATTAAAATTTTAAGCAAACAAAATGGTTTGCTTGACTTGTAGAACTCAGCTAATCATTCAACTTCTATTTTTCAAATCTACCTGAGTTTCTGGGCTGGGTAGTGCTAACTCCATGAAACTTTGTTGTCTTGTGTCATTTTCTAAATAATTTTTTAAAATTAGTTTTAATTAAGAGAAAGACTATTCTGTACGATAAGAATTCTGGGAGAGAACGTCAGCTTGGTTCTGAAAAAAAATGGACTCGTTCTCAAGTTTTATAAGCATCATGTCAACAAATTAATCAATGACTTTAATTTTTTTCAATTTTGATGATTTTACCCAAGGCAGTACTTGCATTGGTGGTGATTCTGATAGGTCACTTTGATGATTTTCACACGGGGATTTTCATCTATTTGAATGACTTTGGTTGGAATAAAGAATGCAAATATAGCTGGCAATTTTACTTAAAATTGTATTTTCATCTGTGTTGCTACTAAATACATTAAAAAGTGATGAGTAGAGAATTATATCTTTAAGTAAGAACTACAGATTTTCAGAAAAATGTATTAATAACAGACTGAAATAGGCAAAACAAAATATTTTAAATAATCATTGGATTTGAATGGAATTTCAGCTAGGCACATATTTTAGTGCAGGAAATATGATTGAAAATACAATTTTGCCCATTCTTTAAAATAATGCCATCGTTTGCCATAGAATTATGCACGATTAGGCTAAAGATTTCTTTTTGGTTAAAAGTAGTCAAATAGAGAATATTAACCATTGTGACAGCTCCTGGACTTTGCTGATGACATCCAAGTCTTCTAAATCCTTTTACCTAAAAGCAAAGAAGCATCAAATATCTTTTAAGAGATTCTCTCACTCGAAATTAAAACATATTAAAATTATTAAAGTTTAATATGAAAATTCTTAACTTAGGTGAGCCCTCTATAGAGCACGCACCTTGATATACATTGTCATCTCTTCTCAGTCATGTCTCCTCCTTTCCTCCTTCCCTCTTCCCCCCATGCCTTCTTTCTTCTTCTTTTATTCAGTCTATTGTGTGCCCACCAAGTGTGAAGAACTATTCTAGGTGTCAAGGAATCAATTTAGTTTTGATGTTAGTTCTGGTAGGAATAACAGTAACAGACCAGGTACAAGCTAAGTTTTCAAGAAATTACTACCTACCTATGACAATACAGATCCAGAGTTAGGTGACAGCAAGGAATAATAGGGCGAACCTGGTATTTATGCCCCTTCAAAAGATATTCCTAGGCTGAGTTTGCCCATAGGAACCCTAGTTCATCTTCTGCTATAACCACCCACACATTTCTCAGCCCTGCCTAGCCCAGAGACTAAACCATCATTCCTGCTCCCAGAACACAGGCTGTTATTTATTATCATACCCCAGCAGGCAAGGTGAAATCCAGCAAGTGGCAGCTTCCTTTGGAGAGACTCTCATGCTAGGCGTGACGTGCAAGCCAACAGCAGAGGGTGAGGGATATCTCAGCATTTGCCTGTGCCTCCTAATGCAGGCTGATGCTCACCCCTGAAGCCTCCTAGTAGATGAAGTCAAGGGGAGACCACCAAGACACCACCTCTGGAGCAGAGAGGTCTGAGTAGACAGCACTGAAACAGCTCAGTCTCTCAGACTGGGTCTGCTTGGCCTGGAACTATGAAAGTTTCAGATTGGAGACATTTTGCCTTCTTATTTACTTTTATAGAAGCAAGAAAATCATCTGTGTGGAAGACAATGACTCATACACTTCTGCTATACTGCTTGGCGTTTCTTTTGCCCACAGAGTCCAATAGGACATTATGCCAGGTAAGAGAAGGGAAAAGAATGGGGGATGAACGGGTGAGGGAGCAAATGGACAATAAAACCAGCACTCAGGTACCTGTGAGTTAAAGTGTAAGGAGAAGGGGGAACAGAGTGACTGGTCCAGTCAGAGGAAATTGCAACTACAGCGAACCAAAACCCATTTTAGCCAATAACTGCAAATTACTTTTCTGTCAACTTTTCCCCTAAGTTCCTAAGATGCAATGAGGTTCAAATGAATTAAGAAAAATAGACTTTTCTTTCCTTATCTTCTGATCGCGAAACTTTCAGTTGCTTTTAACCAGGGCGGTACCCTTTCCTGAGGGGCACTGGAAAACATGTGGGTGGTGAAGTTTGCCACAGTGACCATGAGGTGTTAATGGCATTTAGTGGCAGGACCTAGCAATGATTTGACACAGTGAAGCATTGTCCCACTCAAAATGGCAACAGCATTTCCTTTGAGAAACCTGATAGTGAACACCATAAATGGCTAGAAGGAGCAACAGCTCAGATAGTAAATTAAGCAAGGCCTAACTAGGGTGGAATTTATTTTAAATCTTGTGGAACAATGAGCCCTATGGCTTTTTCTGGAATATTATTTTTCTCATACCATGAGTTATTTTAACTTCTCTATTAGTTTCTTATTTTAAAAAAGATGCAGAGAAGCACTGAGAGAGTATATAAAATTATTTTGAGCATCTTCAGAAGAGAGTATTATAATTTGACCACAAGATCTGGAAGAGTTTTGAGGCCAACTCCACTCCCTTATTTGGTAAATGGGGATACTGAAGCCCAAGGTGTGGAATGTGAATTGTTTGAGGTACATGCTTGTTAGCTATAGGGCCAAGGCCAGAACTCCTGTTTTCAGACTCTCAGTTTCTTGCTCTTTTCATTTTAACGTGTGCCTTCATAACACGATCCTCTTTAGGCAAAAATGACTTCAAAAGTTCTTTCCACGAGTTTTCAAATGTTATTTATTTTGCCCTCTAATTAGTTTGCCCTTGGTAGGAATCTTCATGACTCCTCTTTCCCCTCTAACACTAAACTGGTACCTGGTTCCTGGGAGATGTTTGAGACCCCTTTGGAAAGACCTGTTCCTGAAGGCATTCCAGCTCCACAGCGTGGTACAATATCCTCTCTTCATTCCGCTTTCTCATCCACAATATTCTATGAGACAGAGTGTGGAGAGAAGGCAGAGCATGGGAGGCTGACTTTGTTGTTCTTTATTATTGGGATTCACCTTGTCAGGAACACTCTTTCCCTATCTTCTTGTTAGACAAGTTGCTGGATACTGAGCTGCTGGATGCTACCCCCTCCTGGTCTGCCTACACACTCAGGCAGCTCAGCAGGTCGAGCAGGTTGCTGGTTTGCTAGTATCTTTTTTCATGGTATTAGGTTAGAATTTGTTGATATCTAAAGCTAAAGTTGTCTGTATTGGATACCATCCTACAAATGAAATGACCAGAGAACTGTGTGATGTGTTCTGACTTGTGAATTAGCTGGTAAGAAATGAATCGGGTCTTTCACTTAAGAAAACAGAGTTTCCAGAACTCCTTGTAAACAGTAGATCATGGCTTTCTGCCCATATACCTGATTAATATAATGTGACTTCATTAGAGTTTGTTTAGTGAGACGAGTATCATCCAGAGTTGTTGACTTCTTACTGCATTTATCATAGTGTGTTGAAGATCATGGTATCATCAAGATAGGTTTTGAGTATCTTGTGATGCCTGTATTTTCTTCCACACATCCCCTCTGCCTATTGCACTTTGAAATAGGCTTGGTTTTTTTTGGAAAGACCAGTATTGTAGGAGGTTACTGTAGGAGGTAGGAGAGTTAAGTTGTAGCTCTAGCTGCAAATGGAATTTCCTGCATGGTCTTGTGCAAGTTGCCCCACTATCAAAACCTCAGTTTCCTTATCTGTATAATAAGGGAGTTGGATTGGATAATCTATAAAGTCTTCCAAAAATTAAAAATATTTTAGAATTATTTTTCAGTGGAAGCACTTTAATTCTTCCACTTATATAATAATGTTTAATTCTCTTGAATTAAGAGAAGGTATCTTACATAAGTGATTTCAAGGATATTGTGTTCCATGAATCCTCAGTGATACCTCCTTGACCTTGGAGAGACTCTGAAAGTTCAATTCAGATTCTCTATAAGTTCATATTTGGTGGAGAAAAGAGGAAACATTCAGCTTTGTTTCTTGGTAGCAAGTTGAGAAGCAATGTTGTAAAAAAAAACCCCATGGAGCTGACATTAACCCAAGAGTTAGTCATAGAGCTATAGCGCTGAATTTCCAGTTTCTTCCCCAACGGCTTAGATCTTGGAACCCAAGTTGGAGTAATTGGGCCAAGGTTCTTCCCAGCCACTACAGGACATTCTTCTGGTGCAGAAACAGAAAAATTGAGTCTTCCTCTCTCTCCTCACCTGCACACACACTCATGAAGATATATGTCACTATAAATATACACACTATGTGTGTATGCATACAAGCATATGTAAAAGACACTGAACTAGCTACTCAGAAGAATTTAAAGAATAATAATATACAATCTATAGTCTTAAGGAACTTACAATATGCTTTTATTGAAAAGATTGAGTAGCAAAATGAAAATTCAGGTGAGTGTATGCCAAACATTGAATGTGTGGTATGGTGATATGGATAATAAATCCTCAGATGCCAGAGAAAAAGATGTACCACTTTTAGAACTGAATCATGAAAGACTTCTTGGAAGAGAGAAACTTGAGCTTTGTATGTAATCCACATTCAGTAAGTGTATGTTCAGATTAATAACGGTAGCTAAATCGTAAATAGCACTTACACTATTCCAGAAACTGTTGTGTTTTCTATGGATAAGCTCATTTATTTCTCATAAAAATGCTCTAGCACAAGTATCATACAATTACAGTATTATAGTTCCTATCCTACTTTATGAATAAGGAAACTGAGACTCAAAAAGTTGGACTTTCACAAGGTCTCAAGGGTTGGTGCTGAGATTTGAACTCAGGTAGTCTGCTCCCAGAGTGCCTCCCATGACCACAATGTGACATTTTCTTAGTGAGAGGCAGGTATTGTCAGGGGGGATAACAGAGAGAGGGGCTTCTAATTAAGAGAGGTGGGAATGCTCATAAAAGAGGGGAAGTAGGTTTTAAGGGAGACTTCTAAATGAAAGAACATAAAATTAAGGAGAAAGTGAATATTTACTTAGAATGGGAAAAGTAATCACAACAAATTTCAAGTTTAGAAATGGTGAAGAGTATTATATTTAGTATTCATTCAGCATTATTCAGTAATAAATTCAGTAAAAAAACAATATTTTTATTAATGGGGTGCCCACTTTTTTGTTCCTACATTTTTGACTACATATGTGCATGCCAAAAATTACAATGTAATTTTTTTAAATAGAGAGAATAGAAGGATTATTTAGTCTTTAGCCTTGTTAATCAAATTTGTTTCTCATTATTACTAGTTTAAAAAAGTATCTTTCAGTTTCTCAATTCATTATTAGTAATGTATGTATACATGTAGGACTGATGTTAAATTTTGGAAAACTTGTATCAAGTTTCTTTCATATGTGAGCTGCAAGGTATCAGGACACTTCGAATTTTCCTATTCTGTGAATATTCTTAGAATTTGTGTCCTTTATGTGTTGATGCCCTCATTGTAATGCAGACGTGGTTAGAAACTACATTTGTATATCCGATTAAGACCAAACCAAATGTATCCCTAACTTAACTTCTTCTTGTCACATTCCATTAATAGATACAGCCTCTCTAGCAATGCCCAAAGTTATGGAGAATATGAAGGAGGTAGAGCTGGAATGATAAAAATGTTGGTCTTAACATATGGCAGAGGTTAAAATGTTTCACTTTTGAAAATTTAATAAAACATGTGCTTATATGAACACATTGCTAGACTCTTTCCCAGAGCTTCGAAGGGACTCATACAAATAAGGAATTTTGAAGCTTATAATGCATTTTTGGACAGAATGTAAACCCTTCTTACTAGAGAGAGAGGAGAGCTCCTACTCAGTAGCAGTGAGAGAGAAAGCTACCCAGGTTGAAAGGAAAATGGGGTCATGACCCATACCTCATTGACTTGGGCTTTTGGTGCCCATGATTCAGGTGTGGTGGCTATTCTGTGACTAAGGTGAACTACTGGGCTGGCATATTGACAATTAATTTTGACATGAACTCTATTTTCCCTTTCTAGGCTGCCAGCAAGAGCAAGGAGAAGGCGTCTGCCAGGCCACACGGTATGTGGGCAGCAATAATCATATAATCACACAGACATTTTACCGTTCATCTATTATAATAGAGGGCCATTCTTGGCTCTGTCTTATGGCATGGCAGATGGGACCTCTGATGGCTTGCATTTGGACTTTGATTGTCTTTCTCTCGCATTAAATTGTACTTTTGACCCAAACCTTGTTCCTCTCTCTTCCTAGCACTCTCTGCTCCATCCTGGTCTGAGGGTTCTTTGCCATAGATCCTTTGAATTGAGCTGATTCTAACCAGGACAGTGGCTAGAACAGGTTTGTGAGACACCTGATGTCCACAGGATTAAGGGGCCATCACTGCAGCGACACTTTAGTGATTGACCTAATGCAGCCCAGAGCTCAGACTTTCCCATCTAATGTGGATTCTGTTTATTTTTCCAGGTGTATGTGTTGGTGTCTGTATGGACAATTCCCACTGCACTCAACCTTGCCCTCCAGATACTCAGGGAAATATGGGGTTTTCATGCAGGGAAAAGAAATGGCATAAGGTCACTGATACCTGCCAGACTCTCAATGCCTTCAACATCTTTGAGGTAATATACTTTCTCTTGCAATATGGATTCTGATGTGGCCTCTATGAGCAGAGTGGAGCAGTGCACGTTGCCCTTAGTAAGAGATAGGAAGGAAACGTGGTATGTAGTAGGTTTGTAGGTGAATATACAAGCACCTACATATCCTTGCTCTCTATGCAAAAATGGCATTCTAAATTTTGGGCATTAAAAGTGTGTGGTTAGTGTCCCACACCTTTTCCTGAGACAAAGGCACTTGATCATTTAGGTCAGAGCTAGAAAAGGCACCTAGAATTATCAAGGCTGACTTCTCCATCTTCACTTTCCCTGAAATATCCCAAATCCTCAATATTCAAATTTCCCTCACTGATCATTCCTGAATCCTTGTTAGACTTATGGAATTTGGGTCCCACCCCAGAGCTGCACGATCAGAATCTATATTCTATCAAATCCCCAGATGATTTCTGTTCTCATTAACAAATGAAAAAGCCAGATGACCTAAAGGGAAAGACTTTATCATTAAACGAACACATTTCCATACATATTTAAGTAATTAGACATTTCCAAAATAAAATTCTAATAAATAAAATCAAGTCAAATTGTTATTTCTTCTCCTTTTCTAGTAGGGGTTTGCTTTTCTCCAGTTCAGCTCCTGATTCCTTCAGAGGAGCCTATGCATATTTGACATTTCTTCTGTCTTAGAAACATCCCCATCCTCTGTTTTGGGACTTGACTGTGGGAGTGTCGGAGGATGGTATAACAGAAGTCACTGAGCAGACTTCAAAAGGCTACCCAACCCTCACGGTGGAGAGGCCTGAGTAAAGATACAAACAGAAACCCATATATTGTGTGTTTTGAACTTTAAATTATTTAAATCAAGTTTAAAAACTACTAAATAAATATATCTCATCTCACAGCCCAGTTTCCATCCTCCACCTCAAGGAGAGTGGACAGTCAAGGCTATCTATCTATAACCCTGAAAACAGGTGCCCCTTGACCGTATCTCGGGGTAGCGGTGAGCACACAGTGACATGGTCCATTCTTGGCAGGACAGATGTAGGGAAGAAGCCCATCCAGGTCCTAGAAGTGGGCTTGGAGCCGTTGAGCAGAGATTCAGGTGTCAAGAAGCAGGGGCATAGCTTTGGGAAGGCAAATCCTCCAGGTCTATGGACTCATCACCATATGAAGGGGTAGGCTGGAGGAGGGTCAGAAAGGGGTCCTCCAAAACAGGGATCAGCAAATTTTTTCTGTAAAGGGTCAGATGGAAATATTTTAGGCGTTGTGGGTCACATGGTCTCTGTCATGATTACTCAACTTGGCCCTTGTAGCATGAAAGCAGCCATAGACAATACTTAACTGTATGAGCTGGCTGAATTCCAGTAAAATTTTATTAACAAAATGAGGCAGCCATCCCTGGGCCAGAGTTTGCCACCCCTGCCTTGAGATGTGGGAACTGGAGCCTGAATCTGTGGGAGATATTGTCTATCACTATTTTCAGCCATTCTTCTATCTTTGGTTTCTAGTTGACTCATCCAAATCTAGTTCAAAATTTCCATTTTTAAGATAGACTTATGCCTCATGCCTTGGCCTTTAAAAATAGTAAAAATGAACTTAAATGGCGCTAGAAATGTGCATATATACATGACATACATACAGTGTATATACACAGAAGGTGTCTGTTATGCTAAAGATAACAGTTGCTGTTTGCAGGGAGGAGGTTAAGGGTCACATCTGCTGTGAAATAACTTGACCAATACCAAGGTGTATGAACCAGAAAATAAAAATCCCTACTTTTCATGGAAGAAAGAATGAACAAATGAATGGAAAGTAGGGATTTTTATTTTCTGGTTCATACACCTTGGTATTGTTCAAGTTATTTCACAGCAGATGTGACTTTGAAAGTATAAAATAGGAAGTCATCATGTATAATAAGGCTGTCCTAAATTTTGGTAAAGGTACTTTAACATTTGACACAAAAATGACATCATAAAAATGTCTTTCTTTTTGCCATGCTTTAGGAGGAGTCATATTTGGTTCGGCCATTTGGAGAAAATATAAGAATACATGAATATGCTGGAAAGTCTGAGACCATAGCAGAGATGGTACTACAAAAGTGTCCTACAGATTTGTCTTGTGTAATTAAAAACATTCAGCGGTCTCCTCGGATACCAGGCAACATCGCTGTCATTGTGCAGCTCTTACACAACATATCAACAGAAGTAGTGACAAATGTTGATGAGACAAAGATGCAGGTGAGGGCCTTGGCTATCTGTTGGAGCATTATCTCGGTGGGAAAGGAAAACAGGCTAGTTGGAGTATTCTGTGAATGTCTTGGGGGATGGAGACCATGTCTTTCACCTCAGTACTTCCAATGTCTAGCAAAGCAAATATTCAACAAATCTTCATGGAAGAAAGAAAGAACAAATGAATGGAAAAAGTCATCATGTTTAATCAAACATTTAGAGACAGCACTTGTTACTGTAGTGACATTGGAGTATGGTTTTCTTTTCTTTCCTTCTTTCTTTTTCTTTTTTTGTTGTTGCCCAGATTGGTCTCGAACTCTTGGGCTCACCTCAATCTCCCAAAGTGCCAGGATTATTTGTAAGCATGAGCCACCAGAAGTATGGTTTTCCAATGTGTGTTTTGGTTACTAAAAAATCTAAGAAACATGATGGGTCATGTGAGAGAAATACGTTTCTTGTATTTATTTGTGAGTTAGAACAGATTGCTAAAGTGGAAAATAATTGAATGCAAAGAAAACAGTCATACATATTCCGCAAAATGTGAAATGAAGCTGGGTCTATTTCTTTGGTTTTTTATTTTAAAAGCAAAGATAGTAAAAAGTACATTCAGCCTCTGGGGTAAACTTCCATTTTAATGTGTTTCTGTACAGCATTCTGCAATATACTTAGGATTTAATAGATGTTAATTACATGATGGGTACTTTGACCAGGGTAAGCAAGTTGCTAATTTTGCCCAGGTGTGAAGTGGCGTGGATGATAGACATGAGCACATGGAAGGCTGCCTACTATCCTGGCTCTCAGGAAGGCATTGCATAAGTGGCAAGAGCGTGAGGTTAGGCAATTCCCTTGTAGTTCTATCCTCTAACTCAAACTTTAGTGTGCACGTAAGTCACCTGGGAGTCTTATTAAGATGCAGGTTTTGATTCATGATGTCTGGAGTAGGGCCTCAGATTCTGTATTTCTTTTTGTTTTTTCAAGTAGGATTTGATGAGAGAGCAGAAAAGCTCCCAGAGTGAGAGGGGACCCAAGGGCGTTGCCAGGATTCTGTATTTCTAAGAAGTTCCCAGGGGATGCCTCTGCTACTGGTTGGAGGACCACACTTTATAAAACTGAGTCTTGAACATACTGGCAGTTTCAGAGAGAGGCTCAGTACTAATATCGGTTTTCCTATTGGCAGAGTTACAGCATCATGGCCAACCACATTCTTAACAGCAAAAGCATCTCAAACTGGACCTTCATTCCTGACAGAAACAGCGGTGGTGTCCTGCTACGTTCAGTCAATTCCTTTGCAAGAAAACTACTCCTAAATAAGCATTCCATTGACATATCAGATGTCTTCATTCATACCATCGGCACCACCATCTCTGGAGATAACACTGAAAAAAATTTCACTTTTTCAATGAGCGTTAATGATACCAGCAATAAAGTCACTGGAAGGGTGCTGATCAGCAGAGATGAACTTCAAAAGGTGTCTTCTCCTTCACAAGTCATTAGCATCGCATTTCCAACTCTTGGGGCTATTTTGGAATCCAGTCTTTTGGAAAATTTTACTGTGAATGGGCTCATCCTGTCTGTCATTTTGCCCAATGAACTTAAAAGAATTTCACTGATTTTTGAAAAGATCTGCAAGTCAGAGGAGAAGAGGACGCAGTGTGTTGGCTGGCACTCCATAGAGAGCAGATGGGACCAGCAGGCTTGCAAAATGGTTCAAGAAAACCCCCAGCAAGCTGTTTGTAAGTGTAGGCCAAGCAAATTGTTTACCTCTTTCTCAATTCTTATGTCACCCCACATCCTAAACAGCCCGATTCTGATTTACATAACATATGTAGGCCTGGGCATTTCCATTTGCAGCCTGATCATTTGCTTGTCCATTGAGGTCTTAGTCTGGAGCCAAGTGACAAAGACAGAGATTTCGTATTTACGCCATGTATGCATTGCCAACATCGCGGCCACCTTGCTAATGGCTGACGTGTGGTTCATCGTGGCTTCCTTTCTTAGTGGTCCGATGACACATCACAACGGATGTGTGGTGGCAACATTTTTTGTTCATTTCTTTTACCTTTCTGTGTTTTTCTGGATGCTTGCCAAGGCACTCCTTATCCTCTATGGAATTCTGATTGTTTTCCACACACTGCCTAAGTCCGTCCTGGTGGCATCTCTGTTTTCAGTGGGCTATGGATGTCCTTTGGTCATTGCTGTAATCACAGTTGCTGTCACTGAACCTGGCAAAGGCTACCTACGGCCTGGGGCCTGCTGGCTTAACTGGGACATGACCAAAGCCCTCCTGGCCTTTGTGGTTCCAGCTCTGGCCATCGTGGTAGTCAACCTGATTACAGTCACACTGGTGATCGTCAAGACCCAGCGAGCTGCCATTGGCAGTTCCATGTTCCAGGAGGTGAGAGCCATTGTGAGAATCAGTAAGAACATCGCCATCCTCACACCACTGCTGGGGCTCACCTGGGGGTTTGGAATAGCCACGGTCATCAATGACAGCTCTCTGGCCTTCCACATTATCTTCTCCTTGCTCAATGCATTCCAGGTAAGTCCAAGTGCTTCTGACCAAGTCCAGAGTGAGAGAATTAATGAAGAGTTTTTGTGATCAGGAGCTTGTGAAATTAGATTTCTACATAAAGGATAGCATATTGAGTAAGGAAATAAGCTTTTGTTCCAGAAAGACTTGGATTCAAATCCTGACTCTCTCATTTACTAATAATGTGTAACATGAGTTTGGGATATTTACTTAAGTTTTTCAAGTCATTTTTTCCTCACATATGAAGTGGGTATAATGTCACCAACTGTATAGGTGTATTTGGAAAATGAAGTAAAATGGTAAATGGGAAAGCATCAAGAACTAAAATGATCTAAAGATCATACATAGAATGGAGTTGGAGATCATTATACTAAGTGAATTGTCACATAAACAAAGATCTGAACACTTGTTCTCACTCATAAGCAGGTCTTGAACATTAGTCACATTAGCACAAGGGAGGGATCAGGAGTCACTGGGCACTGCTAGGGGAAGGAGGGAAGAAGGAGGGAGGGGTGCTTGTGACAACACAAAGCGTACTTGGTCCATTATTGGGGGGGTAAGGACCAGTTAGAAGCTCAAACTTCACCTGCATGCAGCCTACTTATTAATATGTAGTTAATCCTCACTTGTACCCTACATTTCTATAATAAAATAAGATTTTATTTTATTTTATTATTTAGTTATTGTTTTGAGTTGGAGTCTCACTCTGTTGCCCAGACTGGAGTGCAGTGGCCGCTCTCGGCCACCGCAGTCTCGACCTGCTGGGCTCTGGCCATCCTTCCACCTCAGCCTTCCGAGTAGCCGGAATTACAGGCGCGCAATACCACGCCCGGCTAATTTTTTGATTTTATTGTAGAGATGAGGTCTCGCCTGCCCGGGCGGGTCTCGAACCTGCAGGCTCAGGCAATCCACTCACCTCCCCTCCCAAAGGCACGGGATTACAGGTTGAGCCACCGAGCCTGGCTTATAAAATAAGATTTTAGAAAGGGTCATAGATAGTCTAATAATAGGCCAAGTTATTATGGTTTAGAAATTAAACAATAACATCTTCCCCAAAATTTAGGTGTGTAACTGGAGATATTAAAATTTGTACATTTATTATCATTCCTTTCACTTAGAATTTTTAGTTACCATTGGAAACCATCTTATTTTTAAAAGGCAAGCTATACAGAGTGGTATTAAAGATAAACAGTTTCTCTCCTTTCTTATCTCACTTCTGTGAATTAAACAATGTTCACAATTTCATGTGTTTCCTGGTTGAATTTCCTATCCCAAATGTCCCAAACACATTTTAACATAATATAGGGGTTAAAACAATGCATGTTTTTATGCAGTTTGCTTTTGCACTTAAAAATACCCCTAAAATTTTACCAGGTTATCATCTATGAATATGACTTTAATGGCTGCACAGTATTCCATATTCAATAATTTTCTTCTTGATTGAAATTTTGTTTTCATGCTTTTCTTTTATAATGTGCCATGAGCCAAAGTTTATTATATTGAATGTTAGATATGTAGATAATAACTAAAAAGCAACTTTTATTTTTTCTAAAGATTCTAAAATATTACTTTCTTCTGAATGCATTCAGTAGCCAGTAATGTTATTTTCAAGTAAATATTTTACCTAGTTGATAATAGAAATTTTAAATTGAGTATTCTTATAGTTCCAGCTACTTGGAAGGTTGAGGTAGAAGGATCATCTGAGCCCAGCAGGTTGAGGCTGCAATGGTTGTGAGCATGCCACCGCACTCCAACCAGAGCAAAAGAGTGAGATTCTAAGTTAAAAAAAAATTGAGAATCTTGTCATCTTTTTCATTCAAAATTTGTCTATGAATAATTTCATTGTATAACAAACACTTAGATGCCTTGAAGAACAATGTGAATAATAATAGAGATATCTCACATTTTGAATCTCTATTTTTTTGCATGTCTACAGAAAATATCAATTTTACCCTATATTTGTATAGCTTTTTGGATAGGATGGGGGAACACCCCAGTTTTCCTAAAATTTGGATCAGTATATCCCATGCCTATTATTTATGAACCTTAATAAGCTCATGACTCTTCCAAAAGTATTTTTCTTCCTTGTCTTTTTTTGGGTCATCTTACCTGTCACTTTTATTTTGGTCTAGGCACTTGTATTTTGATATCAGAAACACCTTTACCTGTCATAGTAAGAGCAACTTGTTATTTCAATTTACTTTCTGCCTTGACGCAAGGAGCAGGGCGGGGCCCACCTGAGTGGCGAGGAGCTGAGAATGAGGTGTTGGTGGGCCAGATGCTAGGGAGGGCACTGGGCAGAGCTGGTCTGGAGCTGGTCTGTACTGACTCTTGGGAGCTGCCTGTTATATTTTTAGGAACTTTTTTGAGCTGATTATAAACACAATGATCAATAATGATTAAATTATATAGACTAGCGATTAAGTAAATTAGGTAAAAAACAAACGTCATACATTTTTAGAATTCACTACTTCCTAATTCTTTGTTTGCTTTTCCCCATGTTGATGAGGTTATTTGTATCTCCTGCATTTGTGTGCTGGAAATTCTGTATGATGATGTGCTCCTACCCATCTACTAACTCTGTGCTTAGTGACATCACATGGATAGAGTTCCATCAGCCAGGTTGGGAGTTTTTAGCCATAGAGATTGGCTACTTGCTAACACATCACTGGACCAGGGCATCCTCAGGATGCCCAGCGAGGGAGAAGAGAAGAGGAACCTTGGATGTACGGAAGTGGGAAACACAATCAACTGAGAGGAAGAAGTAGAAGTGGAGGCTTATAGGGTAAGGAGAGATGAGAGGCCGCAGAGGCTGATGCAGCAGATAGAGGGGAGAGATTCTGAAACACAGTGGAAGGTCCAGAAGATGTAGGAGGAAAACAACTTAAGAGATTTTCTAGGCCTAGCCCCTTGGGAGTATCTCCACTGGTTTTAAAGCTCAACCATCTCTTTTACTCAGGAAGTTTTATTATCCAGTCAGTTGCTGCATTGACTGCCCACTTGGTCAGTCCCTTACTTCTGCCTGGCATCCTCTCTTATATTTACTAAGAATAATTGTGGGCTGGGTGAGATTTTGGGAGAACATCTTGAGATTTACCTGCTCAAGTTGTGCTTTACTAGAAGAAATACAAAGAAGCTGCTACTAGTGAATATTTTTTAGGTATATTCTCTGATCCCTTCTTGATGAGATACTAAGCTTTATGATTCATGTTTTATCCAAGTCTTCTGAATGATATTTTGTGTAACTTTCACCAGGGTGGCATGGATCAATGAAAAGGAATTCTAGTGGAGTAATTCTCAGTTAAATATTTATGGCTATGTGGGTGCAGGCTGCATAATGAAGACATTAAATACACATACAGAGACACCAATTTATTATTTATTTTGTGCCACACATTATGCTAAATATTGCAGTTATAAATATATATAGTCCAATCCCATCTTTTAAATAAGGAATTTCAAGACTTATGAGGAAAGAAATGCCTCTTATTCCTTTAGTCAGTGAATATTGGCCATTAGCATATTAGAGGAGGTAACAGATTGTGGTTCCCACATCTTTTAAGAATTTGACTGTTAGATTGGGTGCGGTAGCTCATGTCTGTAATCTCAGTACTTTGGGAGGCAGAGGCAAGAGGATTGCCTGAGCCCGCAGGTCCGAGACCAGCCTGGGCAACATGGCGAGACCTCATCTCTACAATAAATAAAAAAATTATCTGGGTGTGATGTTGCATGCCTGCTGTTCTAGCTATTTGGAAGACTGAGGAGGAAGAATTGCCTGAACCCAGCATGTTGAGGTTGTGAGAGCCGTGAGCAACATACCACTGCAATCCAACCTGGGTGACTGAATGAGACTTCAACTCAAAAAAAAAAAGACTCTTGGGCCAATTTCATAGAAATTCTGAATAAAATGTATGTCTAGTACCAAAACCAGGTTGGTATATATTTGTCCCCAGCTTTCTGATAAGAAGGATACTTTATAAAATAATGAATCATGCCAACAAAGATGTTTTCTTAGCAGACACAGTGACAGACTTCAATAATTATCTTGTAGGCTAAGAGTGTCACACAGAAAAACAATCTGATAAAAGCTACACAGGGACCAAACTTTTTAGTGTTTGAGGACTGGCTGAATGGAAAGTGGTATTTTGGTGTGTATTTTTGGGACTGGATTGGCTGCATGGCTGCCCACCACTCCCTGTGAAGTCCTCCACCTCTCACTGGAGCTTTTACCAAGCAGAGGTAGCAGTAGGTTTGACATTTCTCTCATCAATGAACAGCAACTTGAAACATCTTTCTGGAGCCAGTTGTATTAAAGCTGTGCATCTTAGCAGTCCCCTGACTGGGTAAGAAGAGTTCACATTCACTTATGAAATAAGAGCAGTTTCACTAGGGGATGCCTAAATGAAAGGTCATTATCTAGTCTTCCTTTTCAGTAAAGCTATGACCTAAGTAATTGCACATTTAAGAGAAATTTTGTCTAATGAATGACACTATCACATTTTGAGAGTTGAATCTCTGAATTTCCTTTTCCTTATTGGAAACATAGGACCACAACCTCTTCTTCCTTCCTGCAGAGTGGCTTTTATGCCAATGCATGTGGAAAACAAGTAAAAAATTCAAATGCATGGTAACTGTAGAGGAATAGCCTGCTTTTGACTTCATGAGGTTTTTCTTTGTATGGATAATTTAAAAAATCTAATTAATTCCCTCTATATCTTCATATTGGGAATACATATCATATGTTTAGAAACTCAGTCTATTTGCTGTCTTATTATTTTTTTCTGAGGATGTATATACTTGATGTTTTCTTTGCAAGTTTTATAATATTCTTTGTTTTGGGTGGGAGAAGGAGCTTGAGGGTGTTCTGGGACGGTAACCACTGCTGTTTCTGCTCTTTTCCATAGAAGTTTCTTTCATGACATTGCTCAGGGGCTACAAGGCTGCTGTCCATTGCCTAATATCTCCTCTGACTCTTTCTTAGATCATTATATTCTGAGGAGGGGCACAGCTCCTGCTAAATGTAAAACACTTTTATCTTGCCCAACTTAAAAAGAAGTTTCTAAAATATGAGGGAGACCTAAAAAAGCCCAGAATTATTTTTCAGAGGGTGGGCCCCTTTGTAGTACAGGCTTCCTCATGCTAGGTACGTATTCTTACTAACTAACTGACATCAGCTAGCATTTTTGTGAGAGGCTGTGTTGGGTTTCAGTAATTTTTTTTGGAGATTCTTTCAATGCATTTGCACTTTTCACGATGGGTGATTTTCATGAACAACCTGCTCACCATGCTGAGTATTTGGAAGTTTTTGACCAAAAAACAGCATGACCGCTGCTGTGGCCCACTCTCTCCATTTACCCCATCCTGTTCCGAGCAAATTTTTTGTTTTCCTGAGTTAAAATATCCTCAAAGGGAAATGTTTTGTCAACATGGAAGAGGTGAAACAAAAAATGACAGAGACCCTTAGCAGTTAGAAACAGAATCAAGTTGTTTCATCAAGTTGTTTCAAAACCTGTTTTGAGCAGTGGAAAAAGCATCTTAATAGGTGTATTGCATCAAATGAAGTGTACTTTGAAAGTGACTGAAGTTTAGACTTGTAAGAATAAATACACATTAAAAAAAAATAAATCCTGAGTCTTTGGGGTCCCCCTTGCATTCCTGTATGAAGCAGAAACCTTGGTCTTTTTGGTTATTGAGGTGTCTCACATGTCTAGAACAGTGACTGGCACATGAAAGGCAATCTATTGATGCTTGTTGAATGAATGAATCTATGTCCTGTGACCTAAAAATGGGAAATTTAAAGGTTTAATTTTTTTTTCTTTTTACCTAATAAGGAACTGATAATAAATGCTGGCATGTATTATTGTCATCACTCTTTTGTAAATGGTTTTTCCTCCCTCTTCCATTTTTCCAGGGCTTCTTCATCCTGGTGTTTGGGACAATCCTGGATCCAAAGGTACTGCATGTAAAATCTCTTTGTTGCTTTTTCTTCTTTGTTAGTACTTGGCCCTGACATACTCACTTGTGAAGACTGCTGTTGAGAGCTTTCACCTCAATCATTTGTGCAGACACACGAACAGGGTATCATTGCTCTTTACCATGCAAATGCCATTGACTACCTTTTAAGCACTTATGGGGTTGTGTTTTATGTATATTAGCATTAATCCTTCTTAATTTTTTTTTATTTTAAAATAAAATTCAGAGTTAGGTATATAAATATTCATTATGCAGGTACCCTTGTTGATGAGGTGTGCCCCCTGCTCCTGGCAGTTTCCCACTACTGCCAGTCCCACACCCTGTTCAAGCAATTGTGTGTATTACTATTTTCAGTTTTACAGATGAAGAAACCGGGATCCATAGTGAAGAAATGGCTTCTTACAATCTCTAAAGAAGGCCACTCTGATTAATTGAAGCAGAAAATGAACTATTGAATCTCAATATCATCTTTGGGAGGGCCTCTCTTTGGTTTAAAGCCTTGGAGGCTCTACTTCAAGAGTATTTTCCTATGCACAGCACATAGTATCTCTTTGCTCCATGAGAGGTTTCATTATCCACTCCCCCTTTGCTGGCACAGAGCACAGCTTACCAGGTTGTGTCAGGCAGTGAACATTTAAGCTAGTGTTGCTATTACTGCTGCCTGGGGGAATCACCTCCACTCTGCCTGTTCTGCCCACTGGCTCCTGCTTTTTTGCATTGTCCTAGCTGATTGAGCTCAGGTCATATGGCTGCATCTTAGCTGCAAGGGGGTAGAAAAATAGAGTTATTGACATCTACCTGGAGTAGCAGTGGACTCAAGGAAGGGAATTCTCCAAATGCAGGTGAATGTTGATAGGTGCTGGATGCTGAAAACAAACAAAAACCAAACAAATGAAGAAAGCATCAAATGATCACCCAGGTCTCTAAGATCATCACCCTCTTTCCATTGCACCACGCTGCCTCCTGGAAAAGGCAAAGCAAACAACCCTCTCAGATATAGATGCAAACACCTTCTGCCAATTTAAACAAACAAATAAAGAAAAGGAACACTATCAGGTTGGATATACAAAAAACAAAACAAAACACAAACCAAAGAATCAAACCTCCTTCCAAAATCCACAAAACCCCAAAACAAACCAAAACTCCCACCTTCACTATAGAGTTGATTTTTTTGTTTTTACTGTCAATGCTATTCTACTATTGAGTTAATATCAAAGGTTTCACAATGGTCCTTTCCTTGCCTTATGAGGATACCATATCAATCTAGTGAAAATTAATCAGAGGTAAAAGAGTGTTCATCTTGATGTTTGCATGTACTCTGTGCTGTACCTTTATGCTCATGAACCCGAGATTCCTCAATTGGAAGCAGAGATAATGCTTTTTCTGCCTTCTCCACTAGATTTTGATAAAGAACAAATGTATTTTCATAAGTAAAAACACAAAGCATTTAAGGTATTATACAGATATATACTATGTGACTATTTTTATTATTTGCTATAGCATAACTGGTATCTGTAGCCAAAGTATCTACTGCAGCATTATTAATTAGTAGACCAGTGTTATTACTTAGTAGACCAGTGTCATTACTTAGTATACCAGTGCTATTCTCATTACATCAGTGTTATTACTTAGTATAATAACACTGTGAGATGTGCCAAGAACTCTAAGTCATGAAGACTTCTATCAAGATCAAAACTTCTTACCTTTTAAAGTTATACTAAAAAAGGTAAATACTCAAGCCAGGCTCGGTGGCTCAGCCTGTAATCCCGCGCCTTTGGGAGGCTGAGGTGAGTGGATTGCCTGAACCCATGGGTTCGAGACCCGCCTGGGCAGCGAGACCTCATCTCTACAATAAATCAAAAAATCAGCCGGGCGTGGTAGCACATGCCTGTAATTCCGGCTACTCCGAAGGCTGAGGCGGAAGGATCACCGGAGCCCAGCGGGCGAGGCTGCAGTGGCCGGGAGCGGCTACTGCACTCCAGTCTGGGTGACAGAGTGAGACTCCAACTCAAAAAAAAAAAAAAAAAGGTAAATACTCAAAAGTATCACAGTACCATACATGATTAATTGACAAACAGTTGCATATACTAGTAGTCTTCAAACTTGTAGGATCAGTTAAAAATAGTACAAAGGTGAGCATGTATCCTCAGATGTATCATTTTTAATTTATAACATCTGTATTATATACATTATGAAACATAAGAGATAAAAAAGTGAGAATAAAGAAATGTAAGTAGAAGCTAATATGTCTTCACAAATCCCAGTGGACCACTGAACACACCATTCTCAACCCTGAGGCGTGCTTTGGAGTCTGTGTAATGAAGAATATTACATGTGCAGGGAAAGGTGAAGTCACTCTGAGCTGGAGGACTCTGGCATACTTGAGAACACAGAAATTCTACAAGGCCTTGAAAGGTGAATAATATTTTGCATAGCAGAAGGAAAAAGGGAGAGGAAATCAAAAGAGCACCTTACTCAGCAGATGTGACTTAGGGAAAAGGGCAGGATGATCTAGAGTCAGGGAACTTGAAGTCCATAGACGGTTGTTATGTTGTGTATTATTATTTTTTCCTCTAGAAAAGGAGGTTTGAATAACAAACTTTGGAACGTGATGAACTATTTAAATCATGCTCCAAAATATAATGCTAAAGCTATGTCAAGGAATCCTCAAACTAGGGGCAATCTGTATTTCTTAGCCATTGAGTCCATGTCTAAGGCCCTGAATAGGAATCTCTCATGTCAGCACCAACCTCTCTTGTCTCTCCGTCTTCAGAATACTCCACCAGGTCACTGATCCCTCCATATCCCACCAACAGGATCTAGCTGCAAAGTCACTACCTTGCTGCAATATTGTTAGGTCCAAGCCCATGTGCTAGCTTCTTAAGACCTTTTAATTCTTCACTCCTTTTTTGTTAAATATCCAGATAAGAGGAGCCTTAAAGGGTCGAGTAACCTCTACAAAATGGATCTCCAGAATATCAGAGGTAAAGCTTTCATATTTGTTTTTGCACTTAAGTTTGCCAAGATGTCAATATTGGAGTTTCTGGTACATGGAGTGTTGGTAAAACTATCACTTACCACTCTGTGCCATGGATTTTCCAGAAGTGCTGAGTGCTGATTGGGCTGTCCAGATTCTTTCTGGAGTATGAGGACCACATCCAAAGTGATGCAAGTAGATTTAAATGAATTTAAATGACCATGGCAAAGTGGCAAGTATTGAAGGGTAAAACTTAAACCATGTGGCAGGATAGCGGGTGATGAAATAGAAACAGAGAAGATGAGAAGTCTGGGGTTCCCATGACAGCCTACTCTGTAACTCCAAGCAGGTGGACCACAACCAGAGTGAAAATTTCAGGGAAACAAACTCTGATCCTACACAAAGAACTTCCTAATAGCTCAATTTCCAAGTGGGCCAGGCTGCCATGGTTACTGGAGTGGCATTAAGTAGGTTAAGGGTCTTCTCAGGGGTGCTGCAGAGAAGGCTCAGTCATTGGACCATAGGCTAGACTATGATGTGCCCTCTAACTTTTCTAATCCTTTAACTTAGAAACCATTTATTGTTATGCAAAGAATGTGACCCACCAGCTGTTTTGAGTGAGGAAAAAACTAGCAATCATTCTTTTTTTTTTTTTCCCAGAACATGTTTGTTTTATTTAATTTTATTTTTTTTAGGAGAGGCAGGAGATAGCGTGAATATTTTAGGTAAAGGGTAGGAATGGAAAAATTTATTTTTAAAAAATAAATAAAATTCTTATTTTTTATATTAAAAAACATAGTATTGTTTTATTTTGTTTTAAATTGTATTTTATTATAGAGATGTGGGGTACGTGTAAGGATTAGATACACAAGAAGGCTGCATGCAGGTGAAATTTGGGTATCCAGCTGGTCCTCGCATCCCCTGGTTTGGGGTTGGCCCAAGGAACTTCACCAGAGCAATGAGAGAAGGGGCAATCTAGAGTTTCCCATGCCAACACTTGACAGGGTCCACATCGCCTGTCATGGACTGGTGTTGCAGGAGTTCTCAATGGACAAGGGTCCTTCAGGGGCCTGAGTACCCATGGCCCTGAGTAGTAGTATTGCCCCCTCCCCATATTTCTCACCCTTTAATTCCCTTTCATTTGATTTCTTTAGCCCTCTCCTTATCATCTCTCCTTTTTATTTCCCCTCTCCAATTCTCTTCGGCTTTTCTCTTACCTAAGCTTTGATCTTATTCTTAGTCCTTGGACTCCATACCTGGGAGATTACTGACTTCTCTATATTCCTTCCAGCAAAAGGCAAATTTTACTGAGAATAGTCATTAATAATTATCTAAAACAATGGCTCTCAACCTTGGCTGCACATCAGAATCAACTGGGAACCTTCAAAAAATAGGGTTGCCTGGTTCATACCTCTGGAGATTCTAATTTGATTGGTCTGCAGTATGACTCATATTTGGAGAGTTTTAAAAGCTTCCTAGGTAATTCTAAGGTAAGTCAAAGCTGAGAATCATTCATCTAAAGCTTTCCTAAAGTGTCTCAGCATGGCATATATTTTCCTCCAACCAGAAATCCGGATAGTACATTTGCCTTCTGCCTCACTCTGGTCTGCCATGGCACTCTCAGAAGAGAGGCCAGACTCTCTCAGGTCCTTCCAACTTAACATTAGTCCCTTCCTTAATATTTTCAGTATTGATCCACTCAGGCCACAATAGATAAATTCTATTCTTCTGTGCTATTAAAAAAATAGCCATTTCTCCCAATTATTTTTTGGGTTCTTATGTGACTGATAAGTTAAAATGATACCCAGCACTTCATTATCAGTTGTTGGTTGTTTGAGTCAATGGTTGCTGATGCTGGCTGTACCTTAGAAACACTTAGGGAACCTATAATCCCAGCACTTTGGGAGGTCGAGGTGAGAGGACTGACTGAGCTCACAGGTTTGAGACCAGCCTGGGCAACTTGACGAGACCTCATCTCTACAATAAATCAAAAAATTAGCTGGGCGTGGTGGCGCCTGCCTGTAGTTCCATCTACTTGGAAGGCTGAAGTGGAAGGATCGCCTGAGCCCAGTAGGTGGAGGCTGCAGTGGCCATGTGAGTGCCACTGCTCTCCAGCCTAGGCAATAGAGTGAAACTCCAACTCAAAAGAAAAAAAAAAAAAAAAAAAAGAACACTTAGGGAATTTAAAAAAAAAAATCTCCCCAGGCCCCACTCAAGAAAAATTAGGCTGGGCTCAGTGGCTCAGCCTGTAATCCCGCGCTTTGGGAGGCCAAGGTGAGTGAATTGCCTGACCCCGCGGGTTCGGGACCCGCCTGGGCAACTTGGCAAGACCTCACCTCTATGATAAATCAAAAAATTAGCTGGGTGTGGTAGTGCGTGCCTGTAGTTCCAGCTACTTGGAAGGCTGAGGCGGAAGGATCACCAGAGCCCAGCAGGGTGAGGCTGCGGTGGCCAGGAGTGTGCCACTGCACTCCAATCTGGGCGACAGAGTGAGACTTCAGCTCAAAAAAACCCCAAAACCCTCCCCCAAAAACAAAAGAAAACAAAAAACAAAAAAGAAAAATTAAATCAGAAACTCTGGGGGGAAGAGCTAACATTTTTTTTAAAGCTACTCAGTGATTCTAATGTGCTACCTGGGTTAAGAGCCACTGGTCTAGGTACTAGGTACATTTATCCTTGCAACCCTCCATTCTGCTGAGTAACTTCAACCACTGACTGTCACTAGTTTTACCAACCCTACTCAGAGAAACAGAAGCAGATATATTTGCTGCACTCTTCTCTTCTGCTTTGATCCCTGGGTAGCGACCTTCTGTAGTCCAGAATTAATTGCCTTCTCATGGTACCTGCTTGGGTAATGTCAGTCCTGGCTCCCCAACCCCAGCATAATAAATGCACTTGCTTGTGTTCATTTTATATCTGATGTGACTAATTAGCCTATGCCCATGTGGTAGTAATTCTACCAGTGAGCTAATAATGTATTACTTATCTTAGGCAACATATATCCACACAAAGACACCTTTTGGACACAGGTGCATCACAAGGCGATGATGTTAACATTGGGGTTTTGAGCAGACCAGCTGAGAAGGAGCTATTTGAGAGCTCAAAGGCATTTTGGTATTTCTCTGTGTATGACCCTCAATGCATTTCTCTGCTGCTCCCCAAACTCCCAAACTAGAAGTCCCTTTGGGAGAAAGTGCCAGGCCAGGCCAGGAAGGAGGAGAACCTCTCACACCAGCCTGCTTCTATGATGTCAAAGCTTCCAATATAAAGAGGACAAAGTGAAAGGGTAAAATAAATTGCTGTGGATCATAAATCCTTATGTGCTTTGAATAACTGTGATAATTGCAAACAGACATAATGATCAATGCAATTGTATTTTGTCTTCAGCAGAACTTTTCTTCTGAATTCTCTTGTCATCCCACCAAAGGGCCAAGCTAACAAATTAGACTATATTCCTAATTTGGGAGGTAAGTGCAAAGAAAGGAGCCCCTGTAAGTGTTATATATATATGCCATTTCTTTTAAAATTGCAGTCGCATTAATTATAATTAGAAATAATTTTTTTCTTGATAGAACAAACTCTCCTATACAACCTAGTTTCACCTAGCTATGGTTGGAAATGTATTCACACTTCTAATTCGTAGGCTACTGATTTTTTTCTTTATCTCTGAAAAACAATCAGGCATGTCTGAGAATGCTCGTAAATGAGTCTGGGGGTCTTTAAGATGGGAGTGAGCAGAAGGGCCGCTTCTTCTTCTCCATCTTCCTCTAGTTCCCTGTCCCAGGACATACTGTAGGATATCAGCAATCTCCCCAAATTTCCCACCCTGGCCCTCTCTTTTCTCTAGTCTGAAAAGATCTATGAATTATGATAAACAATACCTGTGAGAGACCTCAGGGAAAATGTAGACGTTTATTTACAATTGGGGTAGTGACTTGAGAGACAAAGATCTATGAAAAAACAGAGTTAGAGAAGAGAGCCACAAGGGGAAACAAATTCAGACACGTAGACCGAGGGACATGGTATCTCAAGGTTGGAAGAGAATTCCTCAGATATGCAGACATGTGCAGATGCACATCTCCCAATCCTGTGTGTGGATGGTCCTCTAGATCTGGAGAAAGAGGATAAGAGAGGGAGAGAGACATATCTACACTGAGATACCCACAGTCACAGGGAGATACACAGAGACAGGAAGATACAGGGAGAGGATGAGAGATACATAGAGAGACCCAGAGAATGCAGAAAGAAACAGAGAGAATGTCACACAGAGACACATACAATGTGACAGAGATAGAAGCAGAGGGAGGTGCAGAAAGAGGCACTCATATGTAGAGAGGGCCTCTCAACCCTTTACTAAGACATGCAGACTTCAGCTGCCTCTGTGGTCATCTGCAGCAGCCCAGGGGCCTTTGCGGCCTTCTGTAGCTGTCCAGGAGCCTCTGCTGCCTTCTGCAGCAGACCAGGGCCTCGTATAAAAAACAGATCCTTTCCAAGCCTTTTTCAAAAGGAAGAGACTCAGCTTAGAGAAAGATAAGATGTATCCCTCAGCATTTGTAGGCATTAGAAAAGACAGTTCCTTGGATTCCAGGGTGACTGAAAGGGAAGACACTTTCCATCTACCCAAAGGGCTGTACCCAGAGGGGCTTGTTGTTCCAGCAAGGGTGAACTTATCATGCAGTTGTTGTGAAGCCTATGGGTCTTGCTACTTGTGCATTAAAGCTGTGGTTTTCTGTTCTTGACAAGGTCATATATTCCAGGAATGGCAGAGCCCAAAGGAGGAGCATGTTCTTTCCTGTCTTATTGCCTCTGGAGAGTATGAAGGAAGCTTCACACACTGTGATACAGATGGAGGAGGGCGTGGTGGGCAGAAAGGACAGACGGACCCTCTGTCTCAACTGTTCTGTGCTGCTAACCATTTCTCATCCATCAACTGTATCTATTCCATGCTGGGCCTCCACAAGGGAACAAAAAGACAAAGTGCGCCATAACCACGGTTTTGTCAGGGCTTCCGTCTTCAGGCTGTTGGATCACATTTACCCTCAGGAAGAGAGAGCTCTGGCTGATCTTGGCAAAGGTGGCCTGGGATGTCACCTGGCTGGAATCTGTGGGTTACTCAGGGAGGGGCGCTCATGAATAATCACCAGCAGCTAGGCTGACTCTAAGTGGGTCATTGCTGGTTCTTTGTACAAAAGGAATCCAACTGCCAGTATATTCCACTCCTTCAAATTTAAGTTGATTGGACGGTCAGCCAGTCTTGGGCTTAGATGCAATTCTTTGGCCATGAGCCAAGTAAAAAGCATAATGCTTTTGAACCAGACAAGATGTCTATTTTAAGTTAAGGAGACAGAAGCCTGGAGTTATGAGTCACAGCTAATCATGGAGTGAGCCAGAGGTAGAAACTCAGGCCTGCTGGCTCCTAACTGTGGACGTTCTCCTCAAGACCATGTAGCCACTGAAAAGTTTTCTGTCTATACTAATAACATAAGATTAACCCTCACCAACATTGTTTTTCTGAAGCCTGAGATGGGAAAGAGAAAATGTCATATTTCAAGGACAGAGCTGCTAATTTTCTTAATCTTGTACGTAAATAAATTCAACATTCAAACTAGGTGCCGTCTGATAGAACAGGTAGAAGTCCTTTGAGAGGAAAAGAAAAAAAAAGAAACCATTTTACAAAGCAAGCACATGGGCAGCTGCTGTAGCAGAAAACTAGTGAATAAAGGTCAAGGGACAATTGGTAGCCCTTAATTACCCTAAAAAGGTGCCAGTATTAGTGATGTTACATTACAATGGGAAAGTGAGTCCCACTGTGAATGAGTGTGGTCTCTCTCTCTCTCTCTTTTTATTTACTACAAATAATCCTCCTCTAAGTAGGGAAGTTTGAGAAGGCTTAAATGATAATAATTTAAAAAGAGATCAATCAGAAGTTTAAAAAATGCACTAACAATAAAGAGTCATTTTTCAAGTGACATTGCTCATCTTGGGACAGCAACAACATCCTTTTCAAATAAAGTCAGAAATTCGTTTTAATTTACCATTTACCAGTATAAATGCAGGGTCTCTTCAAGAGAAGGGTATGGGATAGTCATAGTACTGGTTTTTCTCAATGCAGAGATTTAGACACAAATGTCACTTATTAAGGGTCAACATATTAAAATGAAGATGAAATCTCATCAAGATAAATAGTTATAGAATTGTAAATCTGGACAAATTTTAGGAACAACTAAATCCAATTGCCTCATTTTACAGATGAGAACTCTGTGCACTAGGGAGAGGGGGATGGCTTGGCCTTTCATTTGTATCATACTTTGAGCAATTACATCTAGTACGAAAGCACTCTCTACTCAGGTATGCTCACTTTCTGAGGCAGGATGGTGGGAATGACACCCCACCTTGGGCTCATCATTAACCAAAAAAGGCCATGGAGAAACTCTGGAATTATTTGGGAATTCCTGGAAGAAGGTGTGTCCTCTCTCCTGCAGCCCCAAACCCATCTTGAAAGCCCCATTATGCCATATTGAAAGATGTCAAGAAACTGCCTGGATTAGCTTAACTATAAATGACCCTGAGAGTCAGTGCCCATTCAGTGATCTGCTCACAGCTCACCAATGAAGCGTCTTGGTCAGGTGATCCAAGGAGATACTGGTACTAGCAGTGTCCAAAGCAGATCTGTGGGCAGAATACTTAATACATGGAAATCCTTGGGAAAGTCATTGAAATGTTTTAGACTTTAGTTTTCTCATCTATAAATTGAGGATAACAGAACCTACCTCATAGAATTGTGGCAAAGATTAAATAAATTCATGTAAAGTATTTAGAATAGTGTTTGACAAAAAATAATTGCTCATTAAAATATTAGGGTTTTTTTGTTATTAGAGTACCTGTGAATACATGCATCCACACAGACGCACACACGCACAAGCAAACACAGCCATGGCCCTAGACATGAGTTTGGATATAGATGCTCCCATGGGAACTAGTTCATTGACTCCTAAATAAAAGAGTTAATTTGGTCTGTTCAACATTAGGGGTATCAGCCAGCAAAATCTGCTTAAGCTTACAACTGATTCCTGCCATCTAAGGTTACCATGATCATAATACACAGTTCCCTGCCTGTGAAAAAAGAGTACATGTCACAGGGTTTCACTCACTGTACACTGTGTGTAAGCTCTGCTTCACTTTCTGCCTTCTCTAAAAACTCTTCCCTGATTGGTCCAACCAGAAGTGCTGATTCTCCCCACCTAATTTCTTGTAATAGTTATAATCGGTGCCATTCACTTTACAATAGTAAATTGTAGTTATATTGTTTATTTACTTTTGTTCTTTTTGTGTGCATATATATATTTGGAAACAAGTTTACTCACTTTTGTTACTCCTACGTTACTCACGTTTGTATGCCTCTAGTGCCTTGTACATAGACTCTGTTTGTAAAACATGTTCAATAAAGTTATTTGATTACACAATCATGTGATACTAACTTTTCCAATTCCCAAATACCCCAGTACTCAGCTATTGTCCTAAATGGAACTGACCCATTTCCATAAACATGTCCTTCTTGACCTTCACTGTTGCAAACATGGGACAAAGCTGCCTTTCACTTATTTCACCTAATGGTCAACATTTCCCTTGGTAATATCTAAATGGAGGTTTGTGTTAGCTCTTTGGGGAAGAAAGGCCTGCAAAAAGAAGACACCAGAATGGGATGTGTGGGACTATTTGGTGGTGAGCAGAACAACCCAGACTGGCTACCCTGACCAAAGTCAGAGCATGTGAAACTTCTTAGTGGGAACTATGTTTTCTGTGTCTGAATTACACATAGCCACGTAGCGACTCAGTAAGAATTCCTTGTCCCAGCCATTAAAAATATAAAATAGAAATCTCTCCAGGGCTAAATTAGCAATTAGAACACAATTTACTGACCAGTGAATCCACTAATTTTCTCCAAGTTCAACATCAGTACAGGCAAAAAAAATAAAAGCAATAGCCTTTTAAATCATCAACAGTAGTGGCACAATCTTGCATTTTATCACCCTCTTTCTAATTGCACCAGTCTAGTAGACGCAACACAGTCTCATGTGATCATCGGAGATAAACATGAAGAACTGAAGGACAAACAAGTGACTCATTTTAATGGATTGGCTTCAGACAAGAGAAACCTGTAATTTCTCTTAGGTGTGCTTCACAGATCCATTGTGGAGTGAATCACAGACTTGCACAAGCCTTGAAACTGTGGGCAGCTTTACAGTTGAGTGGCTTCTCACAACAGAGAGTTGGTTCTCCCCGGGGCCTCCTGGATTTCCCTTTCAAAAATGGAGAAGACATGTCACAGCCACTGAAGTGGGGCTGTGGAGATACTGGCCTGGGCATGTGATGGTGGGGCGCCATGCTGAAACATTCAGCGCTGACCTTTCTGAGGGATGATTTTCCACATTGGGGCTGCTAGATCGACTTCCTGGGTGCCGTGAGTACAAGCCCCACACCAACACCTTTCTCCTAGTGGAGAAAGTTTGTTTTTGCACAAATTCCAGAATGGGGAAAATGTGTAATTTTATGACTGTATTTTCTGGGATGCTTGATTCTCCAGGAACTTCCCCTTACATTATTTAGAAATTGGCTAGCTCAACGCTGTTGTATTTCCTAAGCTTCTTTTACATGTGTTTTTCTTTTGGAGTCATTTGTCAGGCTTTAAAGCCTCACTCCTAAGAGTGAAAATGCAAAGCATCTGCATTATCCCCTCCCTTGATACATTTCAATTCTCATTCTTTAGATTGAATGTAATGTTGTTTTTTGTTTTTTAAAAAAACACTCTTGAGTAGTTTCTCCTTTCAGTGAGCCTGACAAAGCTCCTTTTTAAAATCAACTTAAAGGGAAAAATTTCTTCCATTTACTGTTGAAACCTTTTTGCAAAGCCATCTTCCTTTGTTTTGAGTGACCAATAACATGCTATTTGAAAGTCTGTTTCCATATACTCTGAAGTCAATTGTGGGAGCTCTAAAGTTTTGCATTATTAGATGCAATTTTTTTTCTTTTTTTCCAGAGTCAGCACTCCATGAGTTTTCTTTATGGAACAGAGCAATTGCTGGGATTATTAATTTTTTTAAAATTAAATAAGTATCAAGATAGTTGATGAGTTGTCTGGGTGCCTTCCAACTCTGAAATTATGTGATTCTTGAGACCTATCGAAATTTGAATCCAGACTCCACTTCTTAGAAAGATACTGAGCTACAAAGAAATTGGCTGGAAGCCATCTAAAATAGCCAAGGATGAGATTTTTTGATTCTAATAGATCTTTTATGATATCTCTCTTTCCCCCAAGGTTGTGTATGAAGCACTTCACCCTTGGCAAGGGAGAACTGCTAAGAGTAACTAAATAGATTCCATTACTGAAGCCAAGAAACACATAAACAACTTGTTTAACCATTTGATGGTATAATCAATATTCTAATTATTCTACTGGAGTAGATGGGGCACATGGTTATAAAATTAGGCTTAGGGGAAACACACACACACACATACACACACACACACACACACACACACACACACACATCACCTAAACTCTTAAGTTCCTTACTCTCCAGTTAACCTTTCTGAATTGGTCATTCTCGTCAGACAATTGACTTGGCTCAGGAGTAGGGGTGAACTGCCACCGGGAAGGCTAGCAAACTGGTGAGAATAGTCCCTCCCTCTCACCTTGTTGGGCAGTTTGGGGGAGAAGAACACTTTGGGAAAGTGTCCCCTTGGTTTTTAAATATTTCCAGGCCACTCATCTTAAGGGGTTTTGCATGAAGAGAGTTGAGAGATCTTGTCTTCTGATACATTCCTTCCTCACTGACTACACAGTTCCTGGGTGATGGTTTTTTATTTTCCCTGGGAATCCTGTGCCAGGCCTCACTTAGCACGTTCAGACGCGTGGGGAGTACCTCAGTCTGTGTGAGTCATCTCCTACAGTTCCACATAGCATGTTTCAGAAATAAGCCTCAGTACCCAGGCAGACCAATTGTAATTTTAAATGACAACTCATCTAGAAATTCGGCTCTAGGTACAAGGAAAATGGGACCAACAGAAGATGGTGCTCGAGAACAGCTGGGGTTATCTGGGTCTGTCAGGGACATCAGCATTTTTATTAGATCTGACAGCGTGGAAAGAGACACGAGCATTGTCATGCCACCCTCTTGGGACCATGGCAGACATTCTTAACCCAGTGTGGTATTATTTCTTGCTCAACATAGATAGGACCTCACAAACCTTTTTGTCTAATGAACAGGAGGTCCACCCTAGACCTGGCATTAGGAAACATTTCTACTTAAGTCACCAGGTTCCAGAACTGTAGTTATGCTTACCTGCCCTTCTTGGACGGAAAAATTGCCTCATGATATTAAAGCAAAAACTTCAGATGCTAGCATCACTCTGCAGGGATCATTCCCTCATTTATTCACTTTTCCAACAAATGTTTACTGCCTATTATCGCCTTATGCTCTGCTGTGTGCTGAGGAGGGAGAAACCTCATGTGTTCATCTTCTGACTGATGACAACCTGATTTTTTGGGGTCCATTCCCCTAAGTGTGGCCTAATTTCTCTCAGGCTCTGGGATGAGGAGCACAAATTCTTGTGCTCTGCTGACCCATAGTGGACTTGGGCAGTGGTGTGGGTGGGAGGTGCTGATTACTGTAAATTTGCTGGAGAGGTAGATCCTTCTGCACATTCTCTCTGGGATGATTGGGTCTAGCTGCATTTTTCTGTAAGCCTCTGAAGCCAGCAGATGTTATTTTCTTTCTCTTTGCCATGATGGTGTAAGAGCAGGGGGCCTGGCCTTCATTCAGCAGCCTAGAATTGCTTTTTATCATTGTGTGAAAAACAAAGGTGGATGGTAGTGCGTAAATCACACTTTTATAAGGGTGCACAGAGAGAGAGGTCGAGCGTAAATCACACTTTTATAAGGGTGCACAGAGAGAGAGGTCGAGCGTAAATCACACTTTTATAAGGGTGCACAGAGAGAGAGGTCGACTGTGAAAGTGGGGAAGTGGAATTTGGGACATGGCTTTTGTAGATCTCAGGAAGCCATCATTCTAGGTGGTTAAGTTGTTTTTAGTTCTGAAATAAGTCATCTTTCAGATACTTTGGAAACAAGACGTGGAGTTACTTTACTGGGTGACTAGTGTGGAACCTGGATTATAAATGACAGATAACTCATTAGTTACATCATTGCCACAGATAGCTTTGGGCAGGAATTCTTTTGCATCTTGTTTTCTCTTCTACTTTTAAATTCTCATTTCTGAATCTGTTCTCCTCCCCCTTATTTATCTCTTATGTTGTGTGAATGAATTAGAGAACCCTTATGGACATATTAGCACAGGGAGTAGCATTAGCTAGATGCTCAGTAAATACACATGAAGCCTGAGTCTGGATAGATTAATGTTATTTTCCTTCAAGCTAACACATTGTCATGGAACGGTGGCCTTAAAGTCCTCAAAGCATTTTTAATTATCAGTTTAATTTAGTAAGAATCGGGTGAAACAGTGTTTTTACTACAAGACTTATCAAAAAATTTTTTAATTTTAATTTTAAAATTGTGAGGAATAATTCAGGGTTAGGTATACAAATATTCATTGTGCAAGTACCCTTGTTGATGAGGTGTGCCCCCTCTTCCCCAGGCAGATATTGGCTACTGTCAATCCCACCTCCACCCCCGCCCTGCAGTTTCTCGCTACTGTCAATCCTTATAGTATTACAGTAGTTGTTCAAGGTCCAAAAACTTTGATATGCGTATGTGTGTGTGTTAGGGGTAAGGGTGAGTTGTGGTGGTGATGTTTCCCATACTGATTTGACTACAGAATCCCTTTGTCTTTGATGAGACCAGTGTTCCACAGACACACAGCTTTGTTCAAATGCAGTAGACATCAAACTCTACATTGTTTGCCTACTAAAAGTAGAGCAGACTGATTCCATGAATTTGAAGAAAATGTAAGTCAGTGTATACAAATGCCCACAGTATTACATTTTCTTCTGTTCTATTTTATCATTCTTTCAAGAGACAGCCTACTACATGTAGACATATACTAGGCACTGAAGAGGTACTTTATTTGTAACTGTCGAAACTTTTCAATTTGGAATTATGCAAAACTCCAAGTTCATTTTCATTATTAAGTCTTTATCATGGCAAATCTAAGAATGTATATTTTCTCCCTTATGTCTTATATAAAATATCAACCGCTGAGGATGAATTATCCTGCCAATGTTTTAAAATTTTTTTCTAATTCCCTGTTCTTAGAGCCTGTAAGCCCTGCTCATTTTCTGCTCTACATAGCACTTTGGGCTTCAGCCACATCTGAATTCTGTTGAAAGAGATTCCATTTAACTCTTTCTAGTGAGAAGAGAAACAACTCAATGGGAGCCATCAGCCATCATAAGAACATCCTACCCATCCCTGCTGATCAAAATGTGCAAAAATGAGAATGCTATGACTCCTCTTGGGTGATGTCCAACATTTGTAATAACTGAAGGAAATTTACTACATAACTACCACCCCAAATGGTATGTAGGTTACATATACCAGAGTATAATAACATGGATGATTAAGTAGCAAATTATTTAATCAAAACCCTCCAGCCAATTGTGCTCAGTCCAAAGTTTGTGTAAATTATGATTTCATATTATATATGGATCTTCTGTTTGTACTTCTTTTTAGTTTATATGAATATATGAAATGTGTCATTTTTCATAATGTTCCTCAAAGATCATAATGACCTACAAGAAAATGCCATGGCTATTGGATACTTCCTGAACATTTTCAGGAATTATGTTTGCTTGAAGGTTCTAGCACTGGTTGGGGAAACGTTTTTGGACCCTGAAAAAAATCACATTGCATCACTGTGCCAAATGCCCAACTTTCTTCCAACAAGGTTAGCTTTAAGAAAATCTATATTGAAGATGACAGGCAGACATAAAAGTGGCCCTTTTCCTGAAGCCTCAGACTGCAGATCTATGACCCCCTTTGTCTTGTTTTCACCCATTTCACGGTGTATCTCAGACCATGTTCTCTAAGTGGAGAAGAATTGGGTTTACCTTTAACAACAGTCATATTATTTGGTCCTGAATGTAGATATCTTTTCTCCCTGATACTTGTACCTTGGAAGGGAGATTTCAGTATAGTTGTGAAAAGCAGCAAAAAGAGAGGATTCAAGGACCCCTTTAGTGAGAGAATTGAACAATTTTCAACTTGATATTAAAAATAAGTCTTATCGTCTGTATTTCTGTTTTTTAAATTGAGGGTTACAATCCATTAGAGACTTGTGAATTAAACTTAGTGGGTGGCAACCAGTCTTTGCAAAAATGTCAAATAGAATAGAGTGTACTACAAGATAAAAAATATTGAACATATCAGAATTTCTTTCTTGTAGGTAGCAAGAATAAGTATTTTTACATAAGTTTTTTTAAAAATTAAAAATGATGTGTTTTTTCAGTTTATCTGTAGAGATTGATAGACATACCTATTTATGTCTGTACACACTGAATCATAATGTGAGATCTGTTTCTTTTTTAAAATTTTATTTTAAAGATGTGGGGTACAGGTCAAGATTAGGTATATAAGTGGTCTATGTACATGAGAAGTTTGAGATCTGTTTCTTAGTATGTCATGGTCAAAAATTTTTGAAAGTCATAGTTGTATATGTGAAATACGTAGATACTTTTAAGACAATGTATATTAGTTCTCTGGTACTTTCTTTTGTAATGATCAGTTAAGAATCAACCCTAAACAATATCCATATTGCAAATTCCTTAGTGTGCCCATCCACCAATTTACTGCATATATGAGAACTTCCTTCCACCCACATTGAGATCAAAAATTCCGTACACATAATCCCAATGCCTATGCAAATCCATCGCCACACCTTCCCTGTCATTTTGCTATGTTCCCTTTCCCTTGCTCAGACCTGCTATACAAGATGGTGCTGTAAATCAAAATACTTTCCCCCATTCATTGGTAGGAAATTTAAACTCAAAGAAAATGGGAAGCATTCCCTGTAAGTGCCTGTGGCTCGTATCTCAGTTGAAGGCTCACCGGACTCATGAAAGTCCCTCTAATATTTGACTCCACCCAGATAGGGTCTGATGGCAGATTGGTGAGTTTTATTTGCTCCCTGGTCACAGACTGCCTTGTGGGCCTAGGTGGATCAGAGTTAGTTTAGTTTTTCATCGTGGTTTCTAGAAGAGAAGCGTGACCATTCTTCTCACAGTGCCATACTGTGGGGGTCATGGCTGTTGGGCTCCTAAAGGTTCACTGGAAAGTCACTGGCATGAGGCAAATTGATTAATAGGAAAAAAGGCATATACATTTATTTAATGTGTATACAAGGGAAGCTTCAGAATGAAGAACCAACTTCCCAATGAGTTACAGAAACTTAAGTACTATCTTCAGGTTGTAGAAAGAATCAGAAGTTTTTGATAAATGTTACTATTAAAGAAACTTGTGAATTAAATAAGGAATGATGCTTTGATGAACATAAATCTTTCCTGATGCTTCCATTATTCTATCTTCTGCAGTAGGGAGGTCAATAGTTGAAAGTGATCTTTTTCTTTTTCACATTCTATTTGCCTTGAAAATAAACACTGATGTCCTTTTGTGGGCAGGTTGAGGTGGTATGAATATTCCAGAGTACCCAGTGGGTTCCTAAGTAGTTGACTAAGTATTGTGTTATTGTGTGAAGTTATCATCGTCTGTTGGATCCACCTTCTTTCTCTACTGCAGGTGCAGATCATTTTTTTCCATTTTATTTGGCTTGAAAATAGACATTCGTATCATTTTTGGGGCAGGTTGAGATGATGTGAATATCTCAGAATTCACTAAATAGCCTTAAGTATTGTGTTATTGAGTGAAGTTGTCACCGTCAGATCCACCTTCTTTCTCTATTGCAGGTGAAGATCCTAATGTGTGAACATGAAGCCCCAGGCAACCATGCTTTGCTGTATAGTGTTCTTTCTGGCTACAGAATGTTTCCAGTATAGATCCAAGAGTCACATAAAAGTAAGCTTGATTCATTTTTTTTTGGTCCCAAGAGAAATTCCTCAGTTTCTAGGTGGCTAAATTTCTGATAAATAACATGGCATTTAAAATAAAATTCCAAATGGTGACAACTTTACTCTTGCTGATAGTAACTTTTTAGAAGGGGAAACAGAGAAAATTTGAGAGGTGGCAGGGATTTGCTGGGGGAGCAACAGTACTGTAGAATAATCACTTTGCAAGCCACAGAGAATGTAGACAGGAGCTGTTCGGAGTATGAGCCTGTAAGTTGAGCAATTTAGGATCAGATCTTAACTTTGCTTCTTATTAGCTCAAATTATTTCACTTTTCTGAGTCCCACTTTCCTTATCTATAACATGAAGTCTTTGAAAGATAATATTTACAATCTTTTATAGGTACAAAAGATTTATGATTCTATTATTGCAACCTCATGATTATTCCTAGTATCTGCTCATTTTTTTCTTCCAAGAACATGTAGTATCTCGTAGGCCACATAGCTCCATTTCATCCTTACAGTTCATACAGGCAGAGAACAGTTTAGTGATATCTTTGTCATCTCTGTGTTCTCCCTGGATATTTAAGCTTCCCAACAGGTGTACTCCATTCACTAATTTGACCTTCCGAACCCAAGTGACCACCATTAAAGTTCCTTCCTCACTGGAGGGCAGTGTATCCTCAGTCTCTGCTCTCATCCTTGTTTCCTTCAGCAAGTTCCTGCAATATCAAAACATGAATCTGCAGCAATTTTCTTCCTAGACTTGAACACATTTCCTCCTCATAGTCATATGAAGCCTCTAAGTTGAGATGAGGGAGGAGAGTCCCACAGTAAAGATGACCTTTGGAAATTTATGTTTCTCAGGCTAGAGATAAACTTCAAAACCCTGAAGGGAAACTCAAGACTGGAAGGATACAAGGTATGTGACTATTGAATAGTCTTTATCCACTTGGAGATAGAAATAAAGGAAGGACATTGATATTGTAAGCGTGTCCTCAGACCGCATGCTTTCCAATTGAATATCAGTCTCTAGTAAGATCTCCATGTTTATCAGTACTGATAGATTTTCTTACAATTATACCATTATCAGTGGCATAGTCAATGAAGTGAGTTGGCAAATATTCACATGTGCTCTTGAATAGTAGACAAGTGTAGATTTTTAAACCCCAAAGGGAAATTTGTTCAAACAAATGAGCTAACAGAAGGCAGAAGAGGGAAGAGGTCAAGATTTATTCATTTCTTCATTGAAAGAATTTTTTAAGTGCTTAAATGAATGTAACTCTCTGGTTCTCAGAGGTCTATTAAAATGATGTAAGATGGATATCATGATGAGATTACTTACTCTTGAGAGGTGAGACGTAAGTTAAGGGGGTAATCATTAGTAGTAATGTAGTGAAATCATGTGCTTCTCACCTAAATAGTGGGGAATAACTGAATTCTGCACAGTCATGGCCAGGTATAGTTTTGGTAGCAAATATCTCTCTATGTAGACATGGAATTGAGAAGGGAAATTGAGAGAAAGGTAACTAACATTATTTGAGCATTTATGACAATGTGGATCTAAGTGTTGTATAAGATGCTATCATTCAATATTTGTAACAACACTATGGTATCATCTCTAAACTTACAGATGAAGAAATTGAGAACTACCCCAATTAACTAGCTTCAAAAATTGATAAACTTGGTAGATGTCAAAGAAAGATGCCAATCTCCTTGTTTCCTTTCCCGGTTAATGGATTCATCCAAAGAACTGTCCAAGCGTAAACGTGGGTGCACTCTTTTGACTCTCAGCCAATTGGCCACTTTAGTTTATTGATTTCAGCACCTTAATAGCCCTAAGCATCATCTACTTTCCACTGTCCTGCTGCTATCCTAAGGTAATTCTTCCTGGGATTACCTCAGCAGCCTCATTCAGGTCAATTCACTCTGACATGAGGGCTAAATCTGGCTTGCTGTCAGTTTTTGTAAATACAGTTTTATTGGAACACAGCCATGCCTATTACTTACATATTGCCTTTGGCTGCTTTCATACTACAAAGGTAGAGCTGAGTAGCTGTGACAGAGACCCATGTGACCTGCAATACTGTAAATAGTTACTTTCTGGCTAGGGTTGCCATATTTAGCAAATAAAAATATAGGATGTCTCATTAAATTTGAAGTTCAGATAAACAATGAATAATATTGCATGGGCCATACAGACACTAAAGAAATTGTTGTCTATTTGAGAATTTACAGTCAACCCTCATTATTTGTTGCAAATTTGCCCGCTCACTGAAATTTATTTGTACTCCCTAAATTAATACTCACAGTGCTTTTGCGGTCATTCACAGACATGCACAGATCAGCAGAAAATTGAGTTACCTGATGCCCATGTTTCCAGCAGAGGCTGGATGAGGGTGATGCTCTGCCTTCTTGTTCCAGTTCTCATACTGTAAACAAGTATCCTTTCCTAGGGTACATAGGGTACATAATGATATTTTTTTTGTGTGTGCATTTTTGTGCTTTTTGTTGGTGATTTTGCTGTTCAAAACGGTCCCTGACAATAGTGCTGAAGTACTGTTTAGTGCTCTCAAGCCAGAAAGGTCTGTGATGTGCTTTTTGGAAAAAAAAATGTGTTAGAGAAGCTTCATTCAGGTAGACCTATAGTGCTTTTGGCCATGAGTTCAATGTTAATGAATCAACAATATATATTAAACAAGATGCCTTTAAATAGAAACACACATAAAACAGGTTTATATATTGATCGGTTAATTAAAACATAAGCAGAAGCTTTCAGGAATCTAACCTTCTATTATCCCAGGAGCAGTGGTTCAGTATTTGCTAATTTAGAGTTCTCAGTGACTTTATAGAACACAAATCCTGTGAATAATGAGAATCGACTGTATCTGAAAATAAAATTAACTTGTAACTGGGTTTTCTGTATTTTATCTGGCAACTCCATTTGTGTGGTCCTTTACATAAAAGTTTACTGACACCTGCTCTATGCTATTGTCAGTTATTTTTCAAAAATAAATCCAATCATGTTTTCCGGTAACTCCCACATTAGCAGAGCATTCGAGGCCCTTCATGACTTAACCCCTGCTTTCCTTCCCACCCTCATCTTCTGACACTCTCCTCTTCAGGTGCTCTGAACTAGCCTTACTGAATGACCTGCAGTTTCCTTTTCCACGTGCTCACTCTGCCTGGACAACATTTTCCCTGGCAGTTCTTACTCATTGCTATGGGCCTGGTTCAATGTCATTTCCTCTGGGAAGCAATAGCTAATTCCCCAAAATGAATTAGATGCAATAGTTAGAATGTGGAAATGCTAATTAGGCTTCTCTTTTTTCATTTTTAGAGAAATGCCATGGACCCTGCATCTCTTCTTCCAACTGCAGTCAGCCTTGTGCTAAGCACTTTCATGGAGAAATAGGGTTTACATGTATTCAAAAAAAGTGGCAAAAATCAACCGAAACATGTACAAGTCTTTCTGTGGAAACACTCTTCAAGGTGATGCATTTGCAAATTATTGGCAACAGGAGGTATCCCCCTGGAGGTAGTAGAGTCAGTTTAAATGCAATCTGTTGAATGTGACAATAAGACAGAAAAATCTACACAGTGGGCTCAATTTGTTTCTTGTCCTTTCTTCCTTACCCAGACTCTCAGGCAGGCTCCCTCTTCTCCCCACTCTATTTCTCCCTTTAAGAATCTTTTCTCAAATAAAGATCTGAATTTCATTAACACTATGGTGTCAATGACTGCTTAGAGGTTAAATTTAAGCTCTACAGGTAGATTTGTATGCTTCTTGTGCTAATTGATTAATCATCTAAATGCATCTAGAATCAAATTTATTTTGGTATCTCTAATACTTTCCATCACTTGATGAACAGAAAGGACAGATATGTGATCAATCTAGAGAAAATAGAAACTGAACGAATTCAACACACTTCAGTTAAAATAAATTCTCCTGTTTTATATCCTTCCACTTAGCTACCATTTCCTTCTACCTGCCCTCCAGTCCCATGGAGGCATATGGATCTTTGCCTTTCCTAAAATTTTAATAATTATTTTATAAAGGGGTTGCAGATGGCGTCTTTGTCATAGGTAATTATGCAAAAGTCCTTGCAAAGGTGACTGTCAAAAGTGAATTGAAGGAAATACCGTCACATTGTCTTATTCAAAGTGACATTCTGAGGGATTCCAGGTAAAAGTATCAGGAACTAAGCAAAGAGCCTTTTCTAATTAGTGAACTCTAAATGTCTTCCAACTGCAGTTCCTTAGCATTGTGTGTTTGATCTGTCAACCCCCAAAATCCCACATGGCTCTTCTTTGTCATCTCTGTACAAAATTGTCTTGTTATGATGCTTGAGTTAAAATCACTGTCCTGAAAGCAAATTCCAATATAAAAGGTCAATATCCTGATCTTGGGGAATTCTAGTGGCATCCCCTGCCTCCTTGGACCCCACCTTCTCCTCTCCATACATCTCAATGTTAAAACCACCTTTTAGGGCCACTTGCATCTCATCTGTCTTCCCAATGTGGATTGGTCGTACCTTTAGCTCCTTTAGTTTTGAATGAAACAGTATTTTTTTTCTTTAAACAGGACTCAACTGGAACATCTCGCCTTTCTGTAGCAGCACCATCCATATCCCTGCTTGACTTTCGAGCTCCGGAGCCCATTAAGAGTGTCGCTCAAGGAATTCGCAAGAACTGTCCCCTGGATTATGCCTGCATAATTGATGCTGTGAAGTTGTCAGAAGCCACATCTGGAAATATTGCATTTATTGTGGAATTATTAAAAAATATTTCTATAGACTTGTCTGATAATGTTACCCAAGAGAAAATGAAGGTATTTTTTTTTAATATCATTAAAAACTGGCAATGTTTGTCTCACAGTCTTGCATCTTAACAGTTTCAAATGTACTTTTCAAGGTAAAAACTACAACAAATATGACAACAACAGCAGGCATTTCATTTCAATTTTGGATATTGAGTCACTTTAGTTTATGAAAGTTTTCAAGAAGTTAGAATATTTTTAGTACATTTTTTAAGACACTTAATACTTTCACAAAAATATCACATTGTGATGGGTGTGAGCAAGACTGTGTCTATGCTAGTGTTTCCAAAATTATGTTCAGTAGAACATAACTGTTCTGAAAAAAGTAATGGAGACCTGTAACCCAGCAGTTGCAGGATGTTCTGGGTTGAACAAAGTTAAGCAGGTTTCCTTATGGCAGGACTTTTTAGGGCCTTTAACATCCTAATGAAATTTGGAACTCTTCATAATAGGGGAGGGGGGATTTAGGAATACGATGTGCAGTCTTTCTCAAACTTAGATTACCATAGAATCCGCCCACATTCCCCTCCATTAAGTAACCATTAAGATCTCATGGAAAACTTGAGTCCTACATACTGCAGTTTGGAAATGCTGTCCTGGATATAACAGTCAAGGAGTTGTGCTTCTCCTTCTCCTCCTCCTCTTCCAGCAGGTCTCACTATGTTGCTCAGGCAAGTCTCAAATTCCTGGCCTCAAGAGATCCTTCTGCCTCAACCTCCCAAAGTGCTGGGATTTCAGGCATGAGCCACCATGTCCAGCATCTGTGATACCTTTAAAAGTTTGCATTCTTTTACTTTTCCTCCCCCTGTGCAGCCTTACTAATGTGGGATTCTTATACACAGGAAAGTCAAAGAGACGTATGTCAAATAAGATCAGAAAATATCTTTAGAAATTTCAGATTTTAGAAGTTAACTTTGTATAATGATGTATAAATTCTGTTAATACTATCCACTTTTCTCCATTGCAGAGCTATAGTGAAGTTACCAACCACATCCTTGACACAGCAGCCATTTCAAATTGGGCTTTCATTCCCGACAAAAATGCCAGCTCGGATTTGTTGCAGTCAGTGAATTTGTTTGCCAGGCAACTCCACATCCATAATGAATCTGAGAACATTGTGAATGAACTCTTCGTTCAGACAAAAGGGTTTCACATCAACCACAATGCCTCAGAGAAAAGCTTCAGTTTCTCCATGAGCGTGAGCAATGCAACAGAAGGTGTATTAGGAATGGCGGAGATTCCCAGGCAAGAACTACGGAAACTGTGGCCAAACACATACCAAGCCATCAGCATAGCTTTCCCAACCCTGGGGGCGATTCTGAAAGAAGCCCACTTTCAAAACGTGAGCCTTTCCAGGCCAGTAAATGGTCTGGTCTTATCAATGGTTTTGCCAGAAAGACTGAAAGAAATCTTACTCACCTTTGAAAAGATTAATAAATCCCGCGATGCCAGGGCCCAGTGTGTTGGTTGGCACTCCAGGCAAAGGAGGTGGGATGAGAAAGCGTGTGAAACGAAGTTGGATACCATGAACAAAGTGAAATGCCGCTGTAACTACACCAATGTAGTGATGTCTTTTTCCATTCTAATGTCCCCTACATCTATGACGGACAAAGTCTTGGACTACATCACCTGCATTGGGCTCAGCATCTCAATCCTTAGTTTGGTTCTTTGCCTGCTCATTGAAGCCACAGTGTGGTCTCGGGTGGTTGTGACAGAGATATCATACATGCGTCACGTGTGCATCGTGAATATAGCCTTGTCACTCCTGATGGCGAATGTGTGGTTCATCATAGGCTCTAACTTTAACATAAAGGCCCAGGACCACAGATGGTGTGTTGCAGTGACGTTTTTCAGCCACTTTTTCTACCTCTCTCTGTTTTTCTGGATGTTCTTCAAAGCACTGCTCATTATTTATGGAATATTGGTCATTTTCCAGAGGATGATGAAGTCCCGAATGATGGTCATTGGCTTTGCCATTGGCTATGGGTGCCCATTGGTCATTGCTGTCACCACGGTTGCTATGACAGAGCCAGAGAAAGGCTACGTGAGATCTGATGCTTGTTGGCTTAACTGGGACAATACCAAAGCCCTTTTAGCATTTGCCATTCCAGCTTTGGTCATTGTGGCTGTGAATCTCATTGTGGTTTTGGTCGTTGCTGTCAACACTCAGAGACCATCAATTGGCAGTTCCAAGTCTCAGGATGTGGCCATAATTATGAGGATCAGCAAAAATGTTGCCATCCTCACCCCACTGCTGGGACTGACGTGGGGTTTCGGGTTAGCCACTCTCATAGAAGGTACCTCCTTTACGTTCCATGTAATTTTTGCCCTGCTCAATGCTTTCCAGGTGAGTTCCAAGAGGAAATTTTTCTGTTATTTTGACTGGACAACAAGCAATTTAAAATGATAGAATATAAATGTTCTTTCCATGTCCTTCCATATCATGGGGATATTTGGCTGTGGCCTCTCCCCTCCCATTGATTGTCAAGTTGGATTTAGCTGATCAGGTTGGCTGGGTGGGAACCTCCTTTTTTTCCCTCATTCACCCACCTGTATCTCTACTAAAGTTTCAATGTCAGAAGAAGTTAACCTTCACTTTGATGTGTGAGGTTGTACTCATATCACAAAACAAGCATGATTTTTATACTTTCTCCAGTGGTTTAGGAACTCAGTGAAATAATAGCCACTTTTCCATAGTATGACGAGATGGCTCTTGGCTGTTACTTTGTGTGTTAACCAGTCAGGAATTCTTATATTTCTTCCCTGCTGGTCCCTGTGAAATAAATGTAAGCTGTAATGCATATAGATAGATTTTGCCATGCTACCTGATCTTGGGACTGTCACTTTTTTCTGGGCCTCAACCTTTTCATCTGTAAAATAAAGACATGAATCTAGAATGATTTCTATTGTGTTTTTCCACTCTGATATACTTGGTTTGACAAGATCATCCCTCTAAAACTTGTCTTACCTTCTCTGGGCTACTAAGCTTGCACTTTTGGGAGGCTGTCATTAGCCAGACTGCCTTCCATAATAGAAAATTTGGTGAGCTCATATTCTTAATTATACTTTTAATTGGGAGTTGGCAAATGATGGCCTGCTGTCTGCTTTTGTAAATAGAGTTTTACTGGTACAGGGTCATGCTTATTTGTCTATATTTTTCCTTTGACTGCTTTTGAGTTACAATGGCAAATTTGAGTAGTAGCAAGAGAGACTGTGTGGTTCTCAAGCATAAAGTATTAACTATTTGGTTCTTGGCAGAAAAATTTTCCAACTACTGCTTTAAATAATATAAATATAACTACATAATAAAGCAGCAAAATAGTCTCATTAACATGCCACTAGTACTCTATTTAGAAGCATTATGTAAAATATAAGACAGACTTTAAAGAAATACCAATTTAGATCAATAATTTATCTTTCTCCAAATGCTTTAATAACTAGAATCACATCTATTTCACTGTCCCTATTACATTGCTTTAAAGAGAAACCCCTGACTTAAGGTTTTTTTTTTGGCAATCAAAGACTCTGGGACTTTTGATAAATTTCTCCACTCTTGAAGTTATTTTGTTGACTAATGATCTCACCTTTTTTCTTACTTTGTAACTTAACCATACAGCAAGAAGTTTTGCTCTGTATTTCTTTTTTAGATCATTTGTGTTTCTCTTTTCTTGATAAAAAGAAAAATATCCAGACACTTTTAGTTTTATACAATCCTCTTTTCTCAGTAAGTTTTCTCTGTGATTTAACATTTACAATTTTTAGTCGTCTGGCCCATGTTTCTTCACTATTAAATTGTCCTTGGACAGTGAAAAGAACTTGGCCTCACAAGTCTCTGTAACTTTCTCTCTTTTGTAGAAATTTCTTCCACTAGCTTGGAGGTCCTGGCTGCCTATTTACTAACTTTCAACTACAATCCAAAGTTGACTAGAATATAGTACAAATTTCATTTTCATTTTTTTTTTTTTTTTGAGCTGGAGTCTCACTCCATCGCCTGGGCTGGAGTGCAATGGCACGCTCATGGACACCCCAGCGTTGACCTGCTGGGCTTAGGCGATCCTTCTGCTTCAGCCTTCCAAGTAGCTGGAACTACAGGCACGCACTACCGTGCCCAGCTAATTTTTTATTTATTGTAGAGATGAGGTCTTGCCTAGTTGCCTGGGCTGATCTTGAACCCGAGGGCTCAGGGAATCGACTCGCCTAGGCCTCCCAAAGTGCTGGGATTACAGGCCGATTCACCAAGCCTGGCCAGATTTCATTTTCTTAAGACACCTTCCATGATTGTGATTTTTGAATTACAAGTTTCCATGTCACGTTTTACTGACATCATGAGTAAGGATAGCTACTTCAATATTTGGGAAGAGAGTAGATGGATTTAATAAGGTTGAAAACTCTATACTACATCTATAGCTATTCTATAGATATCATTAACGGTCCTGCACAGTTCCATTAGGGTGATCATCTTCCAGGGGTGGAAGGACTCAAAGGAAATATCCATCAATGCATTTATCTCTGCATTCATAGAATCTGAAGTTTCTAATGTCCAATAATAGTCCTTGAAAGTATCTAGAAAAGTAGTATGAAAATAACAACTGGGTTATTGTTTGAAAAACTCTCATGATTCTGTTGAACTTTGCCACAGGGTTTCTTCATCTTGCTGTTTGGAACCATTATGGATCACAAGGTAATCTGAATTTGCTTCACTCATTGTAAATAATTTCCACATGGCTGAGGGAAGTAGAAGGTTGAAGCAGTTTTGAATGGAGAGCTTAGTCAGGGGAGTTGAGTTTGTGAGGTGATTCAGGGAATCTGCTATGAGGAGGAAGGAAGAAACTACGTTTTCTTAGTTCTTGCTCTTTTTCAAGTCAACAGGAAGCTATGTGTGAGTATGAGTATTGCTGGTGAAAAGATGAGAAATTATGACCACAATTTTATCAGTCCCAAGACTAGTTACAACTGTATCTCAACTTTTATCTGAGTCTTATTACTTGCCAGACACTATACTGAACAATCTGATGTTAATTCTGTCAAAGTTGCTGGGCTCAACGTTTCAGGATTCTGTCATTTGAGAGTTATCTCTTCTGATATCTGAGGGGTATTTCTCATTGCTTCCTTAGATAAGAGATGCTCTGAAGATGAAGATGTCTTCGCTGAAGGGGAAATCGAGGGCAGCAGAGGTAAACCTTCCCCTTTCAGTTCCAGCACTGGAGGTCCAATATCCTCATCAGTTATGTAGAGACAAACACTGTAACTCAGTACTCAGGATTTGTTAGCAAAGAGAATCAATAGGGCATACTTCATTCATTCCTTTTTTCATTCAGTAAATTTGGAGCAGCCTGCTAAAATGGAAAGTCAGCAGAGTATACCAGTCAAGAGAATTTTCCACACTGGATGTATTTCAGCTTGACAATTGAACCCGTCAAGGTGGGACCATTTGAATCCAAGATCATAGATTAATAAAATGTGAAAACTCAAAAATGAGAGAGGAGTTAGAAATGAGATTCTAGCCTGACCTACTCATTTTATAGGTGAGCAAGTTAAAACCCAGAGCACTTAAAAGATGTGTACAGACCACTCAGCCTACCAGGAGCAGAATCACAACTAGGACCAACTGGCATCAAAATCTCTTTCAATTCTCCTTGTTCAGGACTCTTTCATTTAAACCACTCTTCCTTGGACTAGAGTATCTATGTACTTGTAGATCTTGAAGACTTTGGACGTGGCTATCTGTCTTTTAAGGCACCAACTAAAATTACCAGCATTGTTGTATTAATTAGAAGTTATTTGCTCAACCTACAGATTCTCATTAAGAGCAAATTCCTTAGAAACACAAAAAACTTTCTGGATACATTGACAATCATTATTTGCGGTTAGCTAGTGTTGACTATGATTTTTAGTAGCACAGTTTATCAATTCTAGTATAGGCATTTTCTTCATCTTTTAACATTTCTGAAATTGGAATGTACCTTACAATGGTATGTCATAGTTTAACTGGCAAGTTTTGTTCTCATTTTATGTTTTAACAGAACATAAAAATAATGATGTAGCTTATACTGTTAGATCCAGTGAAATATGATAATCTAATTCTTTGTAGTTGTGCCCGTGTGGGTTCTTCTCTTCATGTCTTTATTTTCACATGTTTAACTGTAGGCAGGCATATACATAAATATAACTATACGTACTTTTTTGTTAGCATCATTACTCATTGTCACCACTGTTATTTTTGTCTCCATTTAGAATGCATCATTAAGCCCAACCAATGGGTCTAAGTTAATGAATCGTTGAGGATGAAGTGTGAGTATGAATGACTCAAAGAGAAATTTCACTTGCAAGTTGTGTCAATCCACTCAATGCCCCTGCTGGGATGAGGTAGGAAGGGAACAGGGGGACAGATCTTTCAGAGAATGGAATCTTATTTATTGTTCAGTACATAAATGAAACTGTATAATCTTCTTTAAAACCCACATCATCTCAGCTTACTCAATCAAACCTTTAGCACATTTGTTTTCTGTCCTCAGTCAGAGGATGCCGTCATCACACCTGCATAGACTCTGATACAGTATACACCCTTGCTGTCTTCGGTGCTCACATACCTTAATTCCAACTTGTCCTTGAGTGGTGACACTTATAATAGCTCCATTGTTGAGAAGGGAGACTTGATTGATTGGAATCACAAAGCAACAGGCCTGTCTCTCCCTTATGAAGTGGAGTCCAGAATCATTCCCAAGGGGTTGTGGGTGGGGTTGTGGCAAACTACCTGCCTACTCACGGCCAACCCCTGAGAGTTATTTTACACAGGAAAAACCAGGGGAGGACACATATTAGGCTGCCCCGAAGGGGAGAATAAGTTACAAAATGGCAGCCAGCAGCCTGAGAGGTAATAGGGGAATGTGGGCAGGGATGATGAACCTTGGGAATGGTTTTGTCTTGGAGAGCTTGTCATGGCCTTTCTCCATGGATATAGATGAGACTCTACCTTAAAAAAAAAAAATTGGCAGCAGCCACATCCCCTTTTGCATTCCTTTTCTTTCTGAGTCATAGTTTGTGTATTGAGCAATGCAGCAGAACAAGGGGTTGAATGTCACAGAACCAAAGACACTGTGAGTTGGAAGAACCCTTAAGGCAGGGGTCCCCAACACCCAGGCCATGGACCAATACCAGTCTGTGGCTTGTTAGAAACTGGGCTGCACTGCAGAAGATGAGTGACAGGCAAGTGGAGCTATGCCTTCTGTCAGATCAACAGTGGCATCAAATTCTCATAGAAGCATAGAACTCTGTTGTGAACTGCACTATTGTGAACCCTATTGAGTGTGTGTGTATCCTTCAACTGTGTTACTGTGTGCTTCATGAGAATCTAATGCCTGATGATCTGCCCCCCCACCCAAGTCCGTGGAAAAATTGTCTTCCACAAAAATAGTACCTGATACCCAAAAGGTTGGGGATTGCTGCCTTAAGGGATTTCCATGTTATGGATCCTACATAGCTGAGGTTGTGCTGGTGTGGGACATTGGCATGTGGTCCAGGGGAGGGATAGAAAGAGGCCTCTATCATATAATGGACTGACACGTGTGGTGTGCTGGGAAAACATAGAAAAAATCAGTCCTGTTATTCTTTATTTTTTTTTGGGTTGGAGTCTCACTCTGTCGCCCAGACTGGAGTGCAGTGGCCGCTCCCGGCCACCACAGCCTCGACCTACTGGGCTTTGGCGATCCTTCCGCCTCAGCCTTCTGAGTAGCTGGAATTACAGGCATGCGCTACCACGCCCGGCTGATTTTTTGATTTATTGTAGAGATGAGGTCTTGCTGCCCAGGCAGGTCTCGAACCTGCGGGCTCAGGCAATCCACTCACCTCAGCCTCCCAAAGGCGCGGGATTACAGGCTGAGCCACCAAGCCTGGCTTAGGCCTGTTATTCTTAGTAGTTGTCTTCACATTTGGGGTTTTATGGGAGAACTATAAAAGGACTGACTCGACTCTTGTCCATTTTCTAGTCTGTAAGTTCTTCCAGGATAGACATGTCATCACTATGACATGTCTCAGTTTGTCGCCAATCGAGTCACTCATTCAGATGACCTATTAAAAACACAGCTGGTCTTTCTAGTAAGGTCCTGTTTTAGGTTGGTTGCACTGTCTTAGGGCGAGGAGGCCCTGCCTTTGGGGGATACTATATCCAGTCCTTCAAGAGAGGAAAGTGTGGTGCAGGCTTTAACTTAAGCTGTGGGGCATACTTGGTTGGCTGCTGCAGTGGAAGTTGGAGAAAACTAGTAGAAGGCAAAATGATGAGCTACACTACTCACTGAGGTGGGAGAGGTACAAGGGCTTCTGCCAGGATTAGAAGGAAGCCCAGGAAGGAGGTGGGAATGCACTAACAACAAGCCCCCCCATGAAGCCCTAACCACATGTCTCTAAGTTTCAACCTATTTTGTTTTTGAAGTGATGAGGTAGGTGAGGAACTGAGGATTGCATTTCTCCAGCATATCCCTCATGGTGGCCCTGTGACTATGGCCTTTTCTCAGAAATTGAGGTCTATATTTTTCACTTGTGGCTGGATACACATGGTGTGGCCAGGGTTGGTAAGTGCAGCAGGCCGTATTGGGGACACGGAAAGCATTAGTGTACAGGGACAGGATGTTCACAGTTGGTGATTCTACAGATTCCAGGATGGACAGCAGGCAGCACCAGGGCAGTCTCTCCTCAGAGAGTAGGGTCCAAGCAGAGGGTTCAGGGCATAATGACAGTCCAGGTACACCCGGAATGTTTGATAAGCACAAGGAGGGGCTGCAGTCCAGTGCAGGGCTGAACCCCGGGGAAAAGTTACTATACCAGACTTAAACCAGAATACAAGATGGAAGACTGGCTGCAGGAGGTAGGTGGAATTCTGGTGGTAGGAAATGGGACTTGAGCTGGACTCGCAGTGGGAATTGATGCTTCCAGTGTGGGTGGACGCTCCTCAAATCTCAATGACCTCAGGTCAGATTGTTTTAGACTGTTGAGACAGGTCTGTCGAATACTCCTGGGGTCAGAGAAAGAATTCCAGAGGTGTGAAAACCTGGAAGTTTGCTTTGGGTATAGATTCTCACTGGGGATCTTCTCCTGGGACAGAAGGAACAGCATTCTGTAAGAGGCCACAGCTGCACAGCGCCCTCTGCTGTTCATATCAAGAGCAGGCTTTTTATAGGACCCAAAGCAGAGGCGGTCTGATTTCAGGGTACGAGAAAGCTCTGGTTACTCCAAATATGGTCCACATATTTGTTCATGCTTTAAATTCACCTAAAAGGATACAGAGTTCTTCATTCCACAATGACCTATGAGACGAATTGATCAAATACCCTGAGGGAGTAACGTGATTCACAGTGTAAGTTTGTAAATTCAGAGCAGCAGAGGTCTACCAAGAGCAAGTTCAGACAGTGGAGAAGGAGAGAGGACGCTGAGCATCAACTTCAGGTTTGAGGGAGCAGCACAGAGAAGGGAAAGAGCACAGAAAAATACAGCGAGGAGGACAGCCTTTCTACGGTGTGACCTTGAGGAAATTCCTCAATGCCTCTGTACTTCATTTCTTCATCTGTAAAACGGGTTTAGTAATAATAGTGCATATCTCCCAGGACAGTCTCAGGATTAAATGAGCAAACACATTAACAACCCCTCGAACAAGGGCCTGCCTCAAATTAAGTTGTCGATCAGTGCAAGTGATTCTTCCTTCTATTAACTGTGTTTCAACCCTTTGCCCAGGCCGCCTCATTCCTCATGGACATCCTGGGGCTGAGAGGGAAACTCCAGGAGAAGGAGGACGTGGAAACCCAGCTGGAATGAGGAGGGACGGCCATGTCTCCTTGAAATAGTTTCTCTTCCTGCCAGGAGTGACTCCTGCACACTCATTGTGAAAACGTTTGCTGAGGAAAAATTGAGGATAATATTTGGTGACTATGTTCTAAGGAGGCTAATCCACGGACCCTTTGGTCTACCTGTGACCTGAAAGAAGCTGGCTTCTTGGTCAACCTTGGCAAAGATTCAGAATCAAGCTCCAAGCCATTCTGTGGCCTCTGTGGCCACTGAGGGTTGTGGGCCTGCTGGACTTGATCTGTTTTTGCTCCCAGGCCTGCTCTGTGGCTCCATGGCTCAGTCACCCATCGTTCTGCGTATATCCTGGACACTTTGGAAAATGGGGATTAGGTCCAATTTCAGGGGTTGAGTTGGGGGTGGGAGTGGCAGGATGGGGTGGCAGGAAGAACACTGAATCTACTTTGGAGACACTTGAGTCATGGCAGGTTTCCTAAAGATAGAGAACAGAAGAAAAGTAGAAAAACTATGTAATGTCCTGATTATTTTAGTCTATTTTAGACCTCTAGTAAAACAGTCTAGTTTCTAGGATTCAGTTTCCTCATTTGTGAAACAGGAAAAACATTTGTGTAAGCATGAATATTTCTGTGTTTGTGTATACCTACATGTATATATGTGTTTGTATGTGTGTCATTTTAAACCACTATATATAGAGAAGATTCCGGCTGTTATTTCAGTAATTAAAACATGAGTATATTTACCCTCTAACAACCTACTCATGTGTGAGTTCAGGGTGGACTTCTCCACTGGTATTGCAACATTCTAGGGTGTCAACCCTGTTATTCATCCACCTCAGCTCGTAGCCAGACCTACAGGAGGCCGTATGCTGTCCTCCCAGGTGGGAACCCAGAATATTTGGCAAAAAGCACTACTGTCTTTTAGAGTGTCTCAGTGAAATTTCTATCACCCATTTGTCTTTAAATAGCAAGGCATTGGGAAAGGCTGAAGATGGGCATAGAGGTGAGGGTAGAGCAGTTTTTTCCTAAAGGAAGTCATAAATGCCATTGTCACCCTTTCAACAACAAACAAAAAAACCGGAGTGAGTATAATTTTGCAGAGCTGCTGTCAAAGCCTTCAGTAATGTTGCAGAAACAAGACAAGGATTGGTTTCAGACCAAACAGTGATTATTTAAAGGATGAAAATTCTCAGGCTGGGCATGGTGGCTCATGTCTGTAATCTTAGCCACTTTGGGAGGTGGAGGCGAGAGGATTGCCTGAGCTCAGGGGTTCGAGACCAGCCTGAGCAACATGGCAAAACAGTCTCTACAATAAACAAAAAAATTAGCTGGGCATGGTGGTGCACACCTGTGGTTCCAGCTACTTGGAAGGCTGAGGCTGAAGGATCACCTGAGCCCAGCAAGTAGAGGCTGCAGTGGCTACGAGTCTGGGTGACAGAGTGAGATTCTGACTAAAAAAGAAAGAAAAAGATGAAAATTCTCAGTCAATTGTAA